GCCACTGTAGGCTCTTTCAAGCTAATATTATAAACTAAGATATTATTTAATAAAAAAAACTTATTGTCACACTAATTCCTAGGGCAAAGACATCACCATGAACTCCTATGAGCCATATTATGTCATACATGTTGTTTTCAACGTGTTACCCTCCTTACCTAGAAGAACATGATGGTAGACACTTTTCAAGTTCATATGAGAGAATCATATGACCTACCTAATTAGTCTAGGAGCCCCTCAAAATGTGTCCTCATACAACTAAGCGACCTTATGTGCACACTACTCTTGGAGCTTCAATCGTTTGAGTCGGTGGTGTGACAGTGGGCCTGATAGCAAGCTCAAGTAAATCGCCAGCCGTTGATCATGAAGAAGGAAATTGGAGCCGATCACGATTTAATGGACTGTGTGATGTCGACTCATCCGCGTGTCAGAAATTTAATGGATTTGTTGTCACGTGAGTTGCGAGGAAAGGGACGGATATCCTAGGAATCTGAACGAGTGCTCCGCCGGTTTCTTTTCGCGTGAGATGGAGCTAGATAGATAGCTGACGTGTAATTTGTCTAGACAGGATGATGCACGTTAACAGAAGCATGCTGAGGGAATGATTTAAGAGGAGACTGGGAAGGGCGAGTTGGGATCGGAAACACGGGCTATCCCTTCCGACGAGTTCCGGCACCGGCAACGGCAGCGGCAGGAGTAGGGCGATGAGGAGCCGTCGGTCGTATCCTCAAGGTTGGTGTCCGAGTCCATGCTCGTTGATGGTGGATAGACATCATCTTCTCCGTAAATTTTGGTTTTCTGTGTGGGAGGACAACCCTAGTGGGGAGAATTTCCGCTTCACGGTGGTTTCAGCAAGGTGCCCTTCTTCCGCATCCAGATGAGTTTGGACGGGAAGTTTTTGATCCTGAGGCGTGATCTGTATTCCACTGTCTTCGACATTGCTTTCCGATACTGTACTGCGTTTGCGTCTATTTTGGGCGCAGTGGTACTTGGTTTTCTTACGCTGCTGCAAACGACATCAGGGGATACTCGCGGGATTGTCTTTGGTTTCTTGCTTTGGACTGTCTTTTCTAGGTGGCTGACGAGCACTGATGATTTATTATTGCGACGATATCTTAAGCGCTTTGCGACACGCAACTGATAATTGATGGATCGACCAAATGTCCGGTGGAAATGAATGTAAGCATCGGGATTCTGAGTTCATTTTTGTGAACTCGTAGGTGTTTCACTTACAGGGGATCTTGTAGACCGGTGAGAGAGATTACTCCAGAGGGAGAGGAACATTGAATCGTATCACTATGCAGAGAATGATTGAAGGGCGAGAAATGTAGATGAATCATTAGCACTCCGTGAATTCCTGTACCCTTTCAGATTACATTTTTTGCCATTGAATAGACGAATGAACTAGATGGGTGTTTTCTCTTTTGTACAAAATTGATAATAACTGAAAACTTGGAATCTCGATTGCCGAATATTGGAGAATATACCATTTTATAATCTTCAGTAACGAGGAGATTGTAGCATGAGTTCGTTAAATTCCATTTAAGTACCTAGTTTCAAGAATTTATTTCGTTGTTTTCCCATTCTCCAGTGAAGATGGATTCATCATATTTACCTCTTATTATAATTCTCATGTGAGGTGTAGTCTTAGCGTGGTGTGAGCTAATAAGATGTCCTGAATTATTAACCATTTTATCTCAAAACTGATTCTTCTTCAGGTTCCTAAGATTTTTCCCTTGCTATTCGTGTCATGCAGGGTGTGACAATTTGTCTTTGGATATGCCAAATGTATCTTTCTGCCGTCTCAATTGTCCATAGGAGATTTTTGAATAGATAAACTGGCGCCTATTTTGACCAGCTTAATGATATTGTCTTATAAATGTACTAAAACATCTGCATAAGCGGAAAGAAAAACTTCAGGTTTGATGCAAGGTGGGATGGACACATGGAAACATAAAACCTATATGGTTACCCTATCTCTCTCTTCAAGCTATACAAGGTCCATATATTCTGCTAACCTTCCAATTGGAACTCGTGATTAAAGCATTTTTTTTTCCTGATGAAATTTTAATCCTTGGGATCCGTTACGTCTCACTTCGAGAATCCAAACTGGATGAAAAATGATTTTTCCACATCCTTTCTATTCCGTTGTTACTTCTTTTAATTAAATCCAAGAGCCTGCCATTGTTCAGTAAGGATTGCAGGCTCTAAATCACCATCTTTAAACGCTTGATCTCTTTGCTTTAAAGTTTGTAAGAACTTCGTAATGGAGCTTAAGTATCCAGCCAAGGCAAGCTCCATGATCAAAAAAATTTCTAGAACAGAATCTTGCTTGGTTGGTTTGCCAATGAGATAACAAAAAGAAAGGGAAGCAGAACAATGAGTCAGTTCTCAAATGAATAGGCATGCATCCTTAAGAGATTAAGAGATTAAAGATTTCTGTGTGTATATTTAGGTTGACTACCCGACTTTTCTTGTTCAGTTTGACATATTCCAGTTAATCTTATTCATTGAGGAAATTTATGTAGTTTAGAATATTTGAGTGGGATAATCGACATACATTAGATATCATGGTTTCTTTTTCTTCCACAGTATCGAATATTGATTCAGTTTTGTGTCCATTCGGGTCTCATCAGGGTGGTTTTTATTCAAATACGATGTCTAGATTTAGCATTCTTGGAGGTCTTAATCTCTAGCATGTTGATGTAGAGGATAAATTGGAGAATCTCTATCATAGAATCAATCATTAACATCTTTTTTTGTGCACAGCCATCCTTATTGGGGCCGTAGATTGTATCCTTTGATTGCATTTCATAATGTTTGAACCTATGTTTTATGTGACACCCATATGACTTACCAAGTATCGACATGTACCAGGGGTTCACTCATTGCAACTTTTGAAAAAGAAAACTCCAGAATGAGAGAGATTATATATAAGCACCCTGATGTCAACACGTTTTACGTAGATTGGTCCCCTCTTTGCCATGCACTTCATCATATATAAGCTGTAATCAAAGATATAGTATTCAGTTTATACGTTCTCCTTCTTCGGCACCAGGAAAAAGGTCACTGTCTTGAGAGCTCACTTAGAATATGTCTCAGAAAACTAGACTTGTATCTTCGTCCTTGCTCATGCCAAAATCTCGTTTCTAATTCCTGTTCTTTAATGGATTTCTGCTGTCACCCATAATCTTCTCCTGAAACTGAAGAACTTGTATCCATAGAGGAAATGGTTGAAACTCGGAGTACGAAGAATCATGTCTAGCCATTGTTTAGTTACATAGCTATGAGAAAGATGTAAACGTTCAATTTGGGCGGTTTCTTGTGAAGCCATGTTTCTCAGTCGTTTGGACCAGATTATGAGATTATTCTGTACAATACATTAGTCTCTGATCTATTTCTTGACTTCTTTCTAATTACAAAATCTTAGCACTGAGTTCTGAAATCAATTTTTTGTTTAAATTATTCAAGTGATAATGGTTCACAGTGAAAAGTTTAAATTTCTCTGGATAGAATGTGAAGTTAAAACTGTATGACCAATGTAATATTTTTTGCATTTACCAACTAATATATTGGCATCATATTAGGAATAATTGGCCCTCCTGTAATTTCCATGTTTCCAATCATTGATGTGACATTTTATACCTTTTATTTAACCAATATAATTCTACATCTTGCAGACATTATGGTGTACAGAAAAAAAGAGGAAAAAATCATTGTCATGAGATAACATTTTGTTTCATTAAGAAAGAAAAATATTGCCGGATGGCACAAAAAAATAACACATTCTGTATCACACAGGTTTATAATCTGTAATGAGTAGATTTAGGTAATCAGTACAATGTAACACTATAATCAAAGCTCATTTGTTTGTGACATCATGGGGTTTTCCTGTTGATATTTGAACTGGTTTCTGGTCCTATGACTTTCACCGTAGCTTTTCATGCTTCCCATGAGAACATTTCTATACATTTATATTGCAGGAGTCGAAGCAAGGAAGAACAGCAAGCAGAAAGGTGACTATTTTGTGCCGCATCGCGAAAATAGTGCACATCTCATGGAATATGGCCTTGATAGACATCCAGGTTTTTCATTGCGAGTTGATCAAAGCACGTCTTTTTTGCTAAGTTTTGTTTAGAGATTTCTGGATTGACAATGAAGAATAATAATGTTTCATTGACAAACGCAGATGAAGAGGAAAGGAATAGTCTCGGAACTGTTACCACTGATGTTTCCAGCCAAAGAAATCCAAGACAGCCATCAATGCATGGTGCAAACGCTCGTAATTTTAAGCAAACGTACTCTAGACAGAATGTAAATCAAAACCATCAGAACTATTTTAAGTGGAGTTCACGAAAAGGTGACTTTTGTGTTGGCAATCCATCTATTGCGGAATCTTCAGAGCAAGGTTTTTGGAGAAAACAGCACAGTGATGTTTCTCACATTGACCGGTTTCCAAGAGTGTATGGGAGGAGAAGTAGGTTGAGAAGGGAGAACCAGACGACAAGTGAAAACTTCACTTTCAGAAACAGGAAGGAAAGCACCAGATTTTTGAAATCTGAGAATATTTCCACAGAAAGAGGCGAGCCCAACCGTGAATTTTCTTCAAATTCTGAGAGAAGAAAGATTAGAAATGTTAATCTGGCAAGGGAGGATAACACTGGTTTTCAAAGGAGTGCAGATATTGGTGCTACCAAAAGGAATGATCAGGCTCAGACCCGAGAATCTTACCTCAAAAATCCTCAGTTGGCATATACCAACATCAAGAGAGATAAGAGGGCTGGGCAGCAGGTGCATAGTCAGCTGCAAGATTTTTATTCAAATGGCATGGAAAATGGCCGTTGTGATACCCACTCTTCTGTGGTGGATTCTGCCAGAGCATATGGCAAGAGAAGGAACAACAACACCCCTTTTAGAGAGAATTTTGTATCTATAGATCGAGAAGGTGATGCATCTTCAATTAAAGAGAAAAAGGGCACTCGCAAAGGAAGAAGAACGAGATGGAGAAAGAAAAAATGCTTCGGGCGGCTGCCTTGTATCGATCCTACAGCAATAAATGAGAATGAAGCGAGTGGATCAATGAAGCCTGGAATCATTGGTTCAGCAGAGAGTACTACTGGCTTGTATTCTGAAATCTGCTCAACTTCTGAAACGAATAATACTATGCGAGAGTCTGAGGAAAGATTTACAAGTAGAAATGGAGGCAAGACGGAAACACGCTCTCTCAACAGTGCTCAATCATCGCATGGTGCTCCTGGGTTTCCAAAGCATGACATATCTATTCAAGAGACACCCAATCGTAGAGATGAGGAAATGGATCATTCTTTGTCTAAAAATGACACGGGTCTTGCATTAGATGCAGCTGGAAAAGGAGACATATTGGCCAACATGCCCATCTCCTTGCCAAGAGTGTCCATCTGGTGTGGCAAGAAAAAATTGCTTGTTCTCGATCTGAATGGTTTGCTTGTTGATGTTGTAAATGAACCACATAATTCTCAAAGAGCTTTCATAAAAGTTGCTAGAAAATCAGGTGAGTCCTTAAACTCAGTTTCAGACTTTTACAGGTCGTTCTCTGACATACGCTCTTTTTTTTTTCTAGTGTTTAAGAGACCCTTCTGTGACGAATTTCTGAAGTTCTGCTTTCAGAGATTTGATATTGGCATTTGGTCGTCAAGAGTAAAGTAAGCTTTCAACCTAAGAGATGGCCGTGAAATTTCCTATCTGTTTGCTGGCTGTGCCTTCTCCTCGCAGTATTCATGCTTGAGCAAGCCATGACCAACATGCCTTTCTAATTCTATGCAGAAAAAATATTGATGTTATGGTCGATTTTCTTTTCGGAGAACAGAGAAAGGTGCTTCTGTTTTGTTGGGTAAGTGAGACTCTAATTTTTAGCTTCATGATGACCTTAGATGACAAGTGCTGACGATATCCTTGTGAAATTTAGTCAAAGGAGTTTAATTATCTAACTATTTGATTCATTGAAATGAAACTTAATCCGAAAAATTATTTTTCTGTAAACTTTGTGGCTGTAAAATGTTATAATCCTGTTCCTTTCTTGCTACCATGCACCATAGAGTGATCCTAGCGTTGAAGTGCGTTTCCCTCTGTGATTCTCACTTGACTTGTATATGACTTAATCTTGATCTGAAACAACACATCATTCATCTCGGCTTTTAAGATTTGGACAGATGATTGATTTTAGAAGATTGGGGATACGTTTAAAATACTTCCCAAGCTCTTTGCGATCATGCCACAGCTGCTCAGTATCCACCATTTTCTATGGAAATGATGACGTTCTTAGCTCGGCATGGTTCGTTCTGTTTCACTAGGAACACCACTTTTGTTGGTTATAAGTGAGAAAAAAATGTAGATCCCATTTCATCCATTTATAGCCCAGTGATGTAATGGGTCACTTGTCTCTTTGTTCTTAGTGATTGGCCTGTAGGATAGAGGCGACTACGCTCATTCGGTTTTCTCGTTCTTGATGGGATTCTGAGATTATGTATACCTGAAGATATTTCTGCATACATGTACACTTGTTTATAGATATACATAGATCAGTAGAGAGATGGATCAATACTTAGATTGTATGTGAGAAGAGTGAGGATCCGAGTATCATGTTATCGGGTTCTGAGGTCATCTTTGCACAAGAATCGCTATAAACAGTTTAACCCCGGTTATTACTGTGCATAAATTGTGGTTAAATGATTAAAATATTTTCTGAAAATAAATATATATCGATAGTTAATTATTTGGTTTCCACTTCAATCTCCGAATAATTAGATACAGGGCAGGAAGAAGACTGGCTTTAAGTTACTAGCGAGTTGGGGAACTTGACCAAAATAAGTTATAATCAAAAGCAGACGTCGATGATAATAAAAGTGACTTTTTATTCTATGTTTTAACTTTTTTATGCTCACTTTCTATTGCTCCATGAATCGCTATCATCAAATAATCCACGATTGAATCGCCATCAATGGTCAAATTCTTTGGTTTGTAACGATTTCTAGCTATTTTTTTCCCATCAAATTAATAATTCCTTTTTAGGAACCATCGAAGTGATTTCATTTACCTTTTAACTGTTCTATGCCCACTTTCCTTTACCGCATAAATTGCTGTAATCAGATAATCCAGGATCAGATCGCCATGAACAGTGAAGTTCTTAGATTTCTGGCCCCGTCAGGAACGATCAGAGTCACCTTTTTCTTTTGTTTTTCTTTTTACTAGTTAACGTTGCTTACTGTTCCTGCACAAATTTGCTCTAAAGCAGTCATCAGATTATACACACAATTAGATTCCCTTGAAGGTTCCTTTCATTCTTCAGTTTCCCCTCTTCTTCTTCTTTTTTTTCTATCTTTTTCTTTGTCTGATATCACGAGAGATAATTCTTTCCAGGATCTATCCAAGTGCACCTCCACGGGGTTCAAAACTATGGAGAACGCCCACAAGCCTCTGGTCCTGAAGGAGCTGAAGCGGTTATGGAACAGGGAGGATCCTCATCTCCCCTGGGAGGCCGGCCGCTACTCCCCCTCCAACACCTTGCTCATCGACGACTCCCCTTACAAAGCCCTCTGCAACCCCGTGAGTCTATTTTTAAATTATCCCTATTTCTATCTAAAGATATTTCCATTTCCTTTTTTGGGATTATTTTCTTTAATAGTAATAACTTACAATTCATTCAGCCACACACGGCTATATTCCCAACACCTTACGACTACAGGAACGTGGACGACACTTCTCTGGGTGAGTTGACTTTCTGGACTTTCTTTTCCACCTTCTTCTTCTTTTTTTATTTTCTTTATTTTTTATTTTGGTTTAAGGAAGAAGAAATCCTAGGTTAGTTATTGAGCTGTGGTCGTCGATCAGGTCCAGGGGGTGATCTCCGGGATTATCTGGAGGGGCTAGCGGCGGCAGAGGACGTCCAGAGCTACGTTGCCTGGCGGCCCTTCGGGCAGCCGCCGATCCTGCCCGGTTGCCCGTCATGGAGTTTCTACCTCAGGATCATTGAGAGGATGGGTGCGTCTCTCTTTTGTTCAGCTGCCCGGGCCTGACCTCTTTGAAGACTGAGCTCCTGTGATCACATCCACCATAATCAGGTAATTACTGACCCTCTCCCTATCTATCTGCGTCTCTCTCAATCTCTCTCTCTCTCTCTCTCTCTCTCCAGAATTCTCTGGAAACGCTGGCGGACGTACTCCGGGAACCTAGCTGTAGAGTGGCGGGGATGCTTGATTTGTGCCCCCCCCCCCCCCTCGATTCTGTCCGGGTCCGTTTTTTTCCCGGATGTGGGGCCCACAAACAATCTGACCGTTAGAGATGATCTGTCCCGGTCGGGCCTGGGCTCCTTTCGTCTCATGTTGTGGGACGTGGGCATCAGCTAACGGCTACTGAAGATTCTCTCTCCCTCTCTCTCTCTCTCTCTCTCTCTCTCTCTCTCTCTCTCTCTCTCTCTCTCTCGTTATATACATCAGTATCTATCTCTGTCTAGGAAGAGCTTGTAATACCGAAACTGTGCGGGTGGCCACGACTGATGTTCCTGTGCCCAGTTTCTGTTTCGTAGGTGTTGGCCCCTAGACTCGATCTGGCTAGAGAGAGAGAGATAAGCAGAGATAAAGAGATGAACAGAGAAATAGAAAGAGAGAGAAAGGCAGAGAGAGATGAATAGAAAGTTAGATAAACACAGAGAGAGAGAGAGAGACCTGACGATGTCCGTCACCTCCGGTACATGCTTAAGTGGACCCGATGCAACGGTCCAAAAGGTGTCAGTTATTTTTTAGTAGCAGGAAGCGATCACCAAGGGGAGGAGGCCCCGGTTCCAGCGATCAGTGGGGGATATCCCGCCGCCGTGCTCCCCACCCCCCCCCCCCCGCACCGGTGAAGAGCGGAGATTTGTCCAGGAAGAGATCGCGCCGGCGAGATGGGCTGGGCAATAGCTCTCCACGGAGGTGCGGGGGACATCCCTCTGTCGCTGCCGCCGGAGCGGAGGGAGCCCCGTGAAGCCGGCCTCCGCCACTGCCTCGACATCGGCGTCGCCGCCCTCAAGGCCGGCCGCCCGATTCTCGATGTCGTCGAGCTCGTGGTACGTCTGACTTTCCCCCTCCCCTCTGCACGCCTCCGTGGATCCCCTCATCTCCCTCCCTCCCGTCCGATTTTACTCCGCCAACTCTGCGATCCAATCCAGCCCATGGTTTCTCCTTGCATATTTCTCTGCCATGGTTTCCATAATTTTTTGTGGATTTTAGGAAGGCGATCGCGACGACGATCCAGTCGAGCCGCTCACCTTTCAGCGAGTCTTGGATCACATCGTGCTTGTTCTTCTACAGAGAAATGCGTTGATTCCTTTTTTCTTTCTATTTCAAATTTCCGGCGGACAAATCCATTGGATCCGTTTTTACTGAATGCTGATAGAGCTCCTCCTTCGAACTCTGAAATCGGCCGAGGATCTGGGTAGAAACGAACCACTTAAAAATTGTTGGTGATTCCATGAATGGATCGAGAAATTTTGAATACCTTAATTTTACTTGCAGCTATTAAAGATTGCCCAATTTGGGTTATATCTGGGGTTGCTAATGGGCCGGAATGTTCAACCCATAAGAAAAAATTAGGTCCCGCCCTATCCTCATTTGATTGGGGTTCAAGATTCGGTGGGGGCTTTTTTTTTTTTTTCCCTTACCACGCAGTCGTCTCACAAACATCCACGTGGCATCCACGTCTCACAAATTTTTACGGGTCCGGCCCGAAGCCCATTCATGGGCTTCTCTCCAGAGTTGACTGGTCTGTAGACGTCTAGGCTACCCTTCCTCAAGAAACAAACAAATATTTGTGATTAATATATCTTTTTACATTCATATCTAGAGAAATTTGGGATTGATTTTTGGAAGCATGAGTAAATTATATTTGTCTTAATTAATGCAAAAATATGTGATGAATAAATGGGTTGAAACCCTAATGCCTCTCTGAGGGCATGGGCAAGTCGAGTTGGCACAGACCGAGGGGTGTGGAGTTGAAATCCCGTCTTTGCATCCACAAAAAATGAGATTTCTGTGAAGATTCTTCGCCCTGAATCTGCAGAATGAAGAAACTTTGACCCACCATTGAATCCACAAGGGCTTGATCTTGAATCCAACAAGATCAAAAGGCTTCTCTAAATCTACAGGGGGCGTTGGAATCTACCAGTAGAGAAAGAGAACCTCAGAAGAAGGAGAAAACTTGTAGAGTAGATTGAATACCTCTTGGGCTACAGGGGGGAGGGGCCTTTGAATTGGCTGAAAATCAGTTAGCTTAAATAATGGGTGGTTTTGTTCTTGGGCGCCTGAAATTTGAATTTCGGCCCATTCAAACAAATTCGAAATAACTAAAAATAAGGAACGAAAATATTGGAAAAAGAAATCTGGATGCATTGAGAGGAGTTTTATGATGGGCCCAATTTGTCATTAGGTCAACTTGAGCCAAAAATAGATCCATGTGTGTCTTCATGCTTCCTGGGTTTCATCATAATTGGGTTTCAAACAGGCTACATCATGTGTGGTAATCAACCAGCCAATTGCTGATATTTTCCCTTCAATTATTATTAAGAAGGTTAATGTAGGCCCAGGCCTGGCCCAGCTTAGATTTTTTGGAATTCGTCCTTAAAATGGAAAACCTGGGAGAAATAGAAGGCTTTCAAAGGACATTGGATGCTGATCTCTCTCTCTCTCTCTCTCTCTCTCTCTCTCTCTCTCTCTCTCTCTCTCTCTCCCTCCTCTTACTCCCTCATAAAGCTCAAGTTTGGAGATCGTGTCTAGAATTCATCTGGGCTAGGGTCGACTGGGCAGATCAGGATCCCTACTGTGAACCCATTACTAGTTTTCTGATAAATTTCCAGGTTCCTTGTATCCGAAGACCACCAGTCCACTCAAAATGTCTTACTGGTTCAGATGATTAATTTGCAAATTAGTGCCTTTCTACCTCATGCAGGTCCGTGAGCTGGAAAATTGGCCCTATTTCAATGCCGGTAGGGGCTCTGTCCTCACCACAGACGGTACGGTGGAGATGGAGGCTTGCATCATGGACGGCGCCACCATGGACTGCGGAGCTGTCTCTGGGCTCACCACTGTCGTCAATCCCATCTCTCTCGCGAGGGTTGTCATGGAGAAGACGCCACATATTTATCTGGGTTTTGAAGGAGCGGAAGCATTTGCCAAGGAACAGGTAGGCCTGATCATCCTCCAAGTTTTTCCAAATTTTTGGTCAAAAAGATTAGGAGGGTTCTTTGTTCTTGATGATAGAATCAACCTTCCTGATGCTGTTTGACTTGTAAAATTTCCGTTCAATGGCTGGGGAACAAGTGGGTCTAATCCATTAAATTAAATTATTCATTTTTCTTGTTGTCCTTGATGATAAGTAGATAATCAAGCTCCTCAGCTAATTGAGCTCGTGAATCACACGAGATGTCTCTGATAGGTTACGATGTTGTTAGACAAAGGGAAGATCATTTGCTTAGCAGAGAGGCTCCAACTCAGCTTTTAACCCTAAACCCTAAACCCTAGAAGGATCTTACCAATTAAAGTAGAGGTAGATAAAAAAATATTCTTCCTATTTTTATTTATCGCTTCTCTAATCTCTTCAATGAGCTTGCCGCTGCTATTCTATACTAGTGGAAATCCCTCACACACAGATCAAGGTTTGACATTTTTCAGGGACTCGAAACAGCCGATCCAAGTCATTTCATCACCCCAGAGAACGTTGAAAGATTGAAACAAGCGAAGGAAGCCAAGGCAGTGCAGGTACTCGTTTTTTTCTCGCAACACGCCACTGCCACTGCCCATTCAATTAATTCCCCGTTCTTCCCAGGTTGATTATACAGAACCCTCCAATGCCGAAATTGAAAATGGGGGCCCATTGATGGAGAGCAGCGGTGGCACGGTCGGCTGCGTTGCCGCCGATGGGCTCGGGGGCCTGGCAGCAGCAACCTCCACTGGGGGGCTGGTCAACAAGATGGCCGGCAGAATTGGGGACACTCCAGTCATTGGAGCAGGAACTTATGCCAACAGTTTCTGTGCTGTCTCTGCCACTGGCATAGGCGAGGCGATCATCAGAGGAACCGTGGCGAGGGATGTGGCGGCGGTCATGGAGTTCAGAGGCCTCTCTCTCAAGGAAGCTGCAGCCTTTGTTGTAGAGAGGGGGCCAAAGCGCACCACAGGGCTTGTTGCTGTCTCTGCTGATGGGGAAGTAGCGATGCCATACAACACCATCGGCATGTTCAGGGCCTGCGCCACCCAGGATGGGTATTCCGAGGTCAGCATCTGGAACTAACTCTATATGTTTCATAGGGTTTATAGCTTTTAGGCTTAAAATTGCTGCCCCTTTTGAGATCGATCACCTCATCATCATCCCCGCCAAAATGGAGATCATAAACCCTGATCAGCCATTTTGCAAAGGGGGGGATTTTCAGGAGGATGATGAACAGACTAGATTTTGGTCACAATCCCAGCTTTCTCTGGATATTTTGAGAACGATGAACATGGAATTCAACAGCCTAGTGGGCAAATCTCTCAGCGAAAAGATACTAAAAAGAAAAGTTGGTGCTCAATGCATGTGATGATCTGAAGCTCGTCTTTGAAGCACAAGAAGGCGGGGTAAAAGAGGGGTACCTCACTGCCCAAGCCCCAAAAGACTACTCCCCAACGAATCCCCAGTTGCTGATACCGGCGGCGCCACCATCCATGGTCATCTGACGGGGATAACAAGGCAGGGTCCCCCAGTCCTGTGGCGCGGCCATGATCTCCCCACCACCGTAAAGATGGTGGTCGCTTGTGATGAAGCCACCGCCCGGTGCATTGGCAGCCTCGCCATGGATTCCGGCCACCACTCCACATCCGGGAGGGAAGTCAACATTGCCATCATAAGCTCCAAATGCACCTCCCGCAGTGAATCCACTGCTGCCGGCCGTGACAGCTCAGCCGCCAGAACTGTCGTAAAATCCACTTCACCTCTTGGGTTGCAGTCTCCGTTGCCAGCCATGACAGTCCTGCTGTCGCCCGGAGTGAAGCCATCATTGCCGGCCATGTCAGTCCCCCAACCTGCACCTTTGTTAATACCCGTACAGCATTCTAGCGCGAAGCTACTATTCCCGGCCATGGCAACCCCATTGTCGGAGCCACCATATATCCCAACACCAGTCGCTGCAGTGTGAATCCATTGCCGGCCATGACAACCCCGCCACCAGCCGTGCTGAACATCTCGACACCACCACCAGGAGTGAAGCCACTGTTAACCAGCCATGGCAGCCTTGCTGTTAGCACTGTCATGTTGAACACCACCCATTACAGTGAAGTCACTGTTTCCGGCCATGGGAGCCCCCCCCCCACTAATTCCATATCTTGGAGTGAAGCCATTGTTGTCGGCCATGACAATGCTGCTGACCGAGCCGTCGTCGTATATCCCAACACCACCTCCTGGTGTGAAGGAACCGCCGCCATTTATGACAGTCCTCCCACCTGTGCCCTTGTTAATATCAATTCTACATTCTGGAGTGAAGTGACTGTTGCCGGTCATGGCAACCCTGCCATTGGTGCCGCCATATATCTCAACCCTGCTTAATGGTGTGAAGCCACTGTTGCCGTCGCAAATTCTTCCTACACCAGCTCCTTGGGTGCAGTCACCATTGCCGCCGCCGATGACACTCCCGCCGCCGGCACGACCATGTCTCAACACTACCGCCAAGAGAGAAGCTATTATTTTGGACCATGACACCCCCGCTGCAGCAGCTGTCGTAAATGCCATCTACACCTCCTGAAGTAAAGCAACTGTTACCGATCATGGCAGCCCGGTCACCGCCGCCGTCGTAAAATACCATAGCACCTCCTTGAGTGTAGCCACCATTGACGCCCATGACACCACCGTTGCCGCCGCCGTTGTACATCTCAACACCACCCATTGGAGTGAACACACTGTTTCCGGTAGTGACAGCCCCGCCGCAGCCGCCATATATCCCAACAACACCACCTGGAGTAAACCCACTGTTGCTGGCTATGACAGCGCTACCGCCGCCAAAACCGTCGCCAACGTCGCCGGTGTAGGAGACCTGGAGTAGGTGGAAGAGCCCTCCGTCTCGCGGAATTTCTTGAGGTGCGTAATCAGCGGCTCGATATACTCGTCGAAACCGAGGATGCCCATGCACCAGATCATGTCCTCGGCGCGCATTACCTTTCGCTTCTCTAGATTGCACTTGTCGGCCGCGGCGATGAAGATCCGCCGGCCGCGGCGAGACACGGCGGGTTCTTTCAAGAACAGTCTCCGGATACCTCAAGAAAATGGTCTCTCCTCCTGCTGCGGCTGCTGCTCCTCCGACATCGGCTGGAGAAGACGAGGAACCAAAGCTAGGGTGAGGGTAGCTTGCCTGCATGACACTCTTTTAAGGACCAATGAGTTGTGTTGATTGCTGCCGTAAACAACAGAAATATCGATGATTTGGATGCTTATGTTTAGTCCTCAATAGACATTAGCTCCATATATACTCCTATGCTTTTACTAAATAAACCTGATTATTTTTTCTTCCTATGCATAGCCATCCCATGTCTTCAGAAAATTTTACACAAATGGAATAAAATCTAGATATCGATCCCAAACTTATTTGCCCTGATTCTAGAGCTCATCAATCCATATTTTCTACATTTTCATATTTAATTAAAATACTCACAGTTACGATATTTTAAATTAATATTTTTTTTTATAACCCAAGTAGTTGAAAACTAGTGCACTAGGCACTTTTAGAAGCTTAAAGTGTGCAAGAAAAACGAGAAGACCCCAAGAAGCACCAGAACCAAATTAAGCTCAAATAAAACACACAATAGTCGATTTTTAGTAATTATCTTGTTTTTAATATAATTTGATTTTTTTTCTGAAATTGATCTAGTTTTCAGGGCTTCGCAACTAATTATCAGTTTATTTAAGGGCCGCCAAGGAGGAGACCAAAAGACACCTTATTATTAAAAGAAATTTCTTGTTAAGAGAGTTATGAGATCTTGTGGATTCAAGCAGCCCTTGTGAATTCATGAGATTCTATTTTCATCTTTCTAGATTTAAGGATCATTCAAGTCATCATTCTTGATTCAATGATTGGGGAAAATAATGCCTTATAGATTCATCATTAGATTTTTGTTATTCTCTCACTCCTGATTCTTATCTCTTGGATTCAAGATTCGAATCTTCCATTATCCCCAACTTTCATTCCATTAAATGATATCATAGAAAGATTTCGAGATTTCAAATCTATGTCTTGTGGATTTAAGACTTGTATCTTCCATTCCCCCAAACTTTATGATTACATAATCTGTGATGTATATGCCATATTTAAGTTAGAACTTTTGCAAGTTTTATTGAACCAACAGTTATAATATTTCAAATCCACAACGTAGGTTGATATAATATATTTCAAAGATTAGAACAGTGAAACATCATTTATGTTTGAATAGTAGTTATCAGAATGAAAACGAGATTAAATACTCTATACAAACACAGTAGACAAACGAAAATTTTGATGGGCACAAATATTTGTTCTTCATTTCGATCCAAGTATTATAAAAAAAAACAAATTGAAATGGAATATATAGAAGAAGATAGTAAAACATTATATTTGCATTTATTGATTGTGAAAAGGCTATTTTTTACACGAAAGGAAGAGGACCAGTCTCAACGTCACAGTATTTTCAATAGGTGATGCACAATGAATCAAAATGTGTATGATGTTGTTATTAATACTAGTAGTGAAAATTACATTTCTTCAAGTATGGTTTGGAAGTTAGGATTGAAACAAAGAGGCACCTCATCATTAGAAAAACAGGTGGATCAAAAAAAAATTGAATCAAATGTCACCAAAATTTGTTTGGTGAAAGTTTAAATTGGCAACACATTTTTTATGAAATTCAATGCGACATAGTTGACATAATTGTTTGTCATATGATTATAATGACTCAGCAATTTGACATAAATTTCACAGATCATTACAAAACAAATGTTTATTCATTTTATAGATATGACAAAAAAAATACTCTAATCTTAATGGAGTAGAGTGGAGTGAGGCTAGTATCATCATAGTTGCAAAAACAAGAAGGAAAGTTACACTTGTTGAGAATAAATAGGCTTTAAATTATTTAGATCGAAAAAAAAACAACAGAAACTTTGTTTAAGTCAAATATTTTCTTTAATTTATATCTGCATGTAAAGAGAAAATTGTAAAATCCCTATACACTTGATAAGTTGGACATGGTCACTAGATATCCTCAGATAAGAATTTGTACACAAGGGATGGAAAACTCATAGCACAAACAAAAGTGGTTACAAATCATTTGTTGCCACTTTTTTTGGCCATACAAATGTTTATACCATTACAAAAGGTGTGTTTATTTTGATAGAGGCACCAAGAATTCTACAACAAAATCAGCTATTTATCAAGTTTGAAAAACTTAGCTTCATGATTGATCGTATTATTTTCCTCAGATTTATAGTCATCCTAGAATCAACTATGAACAAAAAATTAATCTCCCAAGATTGACCCATAACCTAGGGATACAAATTGGGTGCAAATTTTCTATATAATGGTTTATATTTACTATGGTTCTAATATTATACCTATTACCCATTGTTTGAAAGGAAAATTCAGTCCGACAAAAGAAGTGGTAGTGAGATCTGATCTTTGAAAGAGATTTGATTCATGTAATTCTCATGCAAATTTATTCATTATATTTTAGAAGATAAATAAAGGGGGTGGGAATTGGCCACTGACTTTGATAGTAAATCACATTTTAATAAACATTCATTCAAATACACTAAAAAAGTATTCATTTGATACAATCTCTTTCTAACTCATACCCAAATCTGGAAGTCCAAGCCAAAGACAGGCATAGCATATGCATATCCTTGATCTTTCATGACGTACATGCCAACAATTACTATACACAGACGTAAAGATTCGAGGTCAAGATTTTTTTCAAGCATGAGAGTGTACCGTAGGACATCATCTTCTAGAAAGAGAAAGGCAAAAGATTTTGGGACAAAGTGGCAGAAAATTGATGGCCACAACACCTTGTAAATCCAAGGTCAGAGTTTCATCATCCTCACACTCCAGATTTGTGTCTTCTGGATTCGAGACTAGAATCTTCCATTCCCTCCAGCCTTCACTGCATCATTCCGGGGGAAAAGGTTTTAAAAGTAGAGCCAAAGAAGACTATTGATTGGGTGAAACTTTGACCAAGACTTGGGCTAATCTGTTTGTAGCATTCATCATTTCCCATCTAAATTTGTTTATAGATAAAACCCGACCATCCTCTTCCAAAAAAAGTCAAACTCTCTCTCTCTCTCTCTCTCTCTCTCTCTCTCTCTCTCTCTCTCTCTCTCTCTCTCTCTACCGAGTTATGAAGGGATTTTGAGAACAAAAGGCAGTCCGTAAGAAGCATTGGTGGGCAAAAGAAGAACAAAAACAGTAGACACCCAAGCTGGGGGCTTCCGGGTCAGATCAATTAATGAGAATTAAGTGGCCACAGACATCTACTCCAAGAATTCACGCATACACTGGTTACACTTGACAATAAGTTAAGCCCCATTTCTGTGTACATCCATCTATCTAATACAGAGCCAACATGAGAAGAACTGCAGGCCATGAACCCACATAGGTGGCCCATCTGGGGCACACATTCATTCATTCATTCATTCATACCTTTACCTTCTTGCCAGCAGGCCCCTTGCGGTCAGCCTTGTCTTCCTCCTCGTCTTCGTCCTCTGCTTCATCAGCTAGCTTCGTCAGCTCATCCTGGATCATCAGCTTGATCAATGCCTTCCTGGGCGTGAGATCCTTCTTGTAATAGGCGCCTAGGATTGAAGTTTTCAAAGGTTTAGGAGGTGGAGGATGCACACATATAAAGAACAGGGTATTCATCTAGCTTTGAGAATACTCACTCAGTTTCTTGAGAATGTCTGTGAATGTGGCCTGAAAAATTATGAAATTTGCAGAAGAGAGGAAAAAGACGATGTCAGATTTGTAGGAAACAAATGCAACTAACTAGATCTCATATCTTACAAAATTAAAACAAGTATTATTGTTCTAACTTCAGTGGAGACCCATCTTCCGACAGTTCATTTCAGAAGGATAACCCCAGGCCAAAACCCATTTGCTAGATTCCATAATCATTCTGGAACAGTTCAATGTAAATACTGTCGTTGATATGACCGATTCAATATTTTATGTAAATACTAGATATTCTTTTGATGAGTGATAATGATATGTAAAGAATAGTACCGTGTTGAAGTCAACTTCCTTCAGAATTTCGCAAATTTTATCCTTCAATTCGTCCTCGCTTGGGCTGGATTCCTTGGCCTGAGATGATTTTCCTTTTCCTCTACCTGTCCTCTTGCCTTCATGGGAACCATGATGAGGGTTAACAAAATGAGGGCTCACATGGCAGAAAACAGAAAGGAAAGTCGTCTGAAATTAAAGGCTGCTGATGGTTAATAAATGAAGCGCTTAAAAGCTATATCTTCTCAACCAAGCTCAGGTTCATCTTCTCCAAGAAATTACTAAAGATAAAGAAAACGCAAAGCAACATCCAGAAGGGAACGATGAAAATTCAGTTATGATACACAAATCAGAAATCCTAATTTGAGCAGCACCCATCTGGAGATCAATAGCAGAACGCGTGTTTGATAGGACACTAAAATCAAATTTGATGAAAATGTCCATGTCTGACAGAGATAAAAAGAAAAAACGGGGACACAATCACTACCTGTGGATCTCTTCTCATTTGTCTTAGCTTTTGGCGATGGCGTCCTCTTAGGTGTTACAACGTCACTCTTTTTCCTTGAGGACACCCTTTCATTTGAATCTTCAGCCGCAGCAGTCTTCGAACGTTTAGAAGATGATTTCGCAGGGCTCTTGGTCGATGCTGGCAGAGGGCTTTTCACAGGGGTGGTAACCTTCTTGGGCTTGGCGTCTTTGGCAGAGGAACCACGCTTCCTTGGCGTCTTCTTCCTATTCCCTCTACCTTTCTTTGGATATTCATCTTCCTCAGAATCACCCTCGGATCCATCTTCTCCCCCACTCTCGGACTGCATGGTTTCCTCATTCTCATCAGGAAGATCATGGGCTTTGTCTTCCCCTCTACCATCTCCATCTTCATCGTCATCCTCTTCCGTGTCAGTTGTATTTATCGCCGATTTCGAGGTATCCATTGTTTTTGTTCGTTTCTGCAAACAGGATTAATAATTAATATTGAAATAGTAATAACGAAGAAAGTTTCAGAAAACCTATTTTATCGGAAACAATAACTCTCAGACTTGAACAGAACTGTTAAAATAATAACATTGAAATTAAAATAAGAAAACTTATTCAAACCGACTCCTACTTTACAGGAAGCGAGTAAAGTGAGGGTGGATAATTTTAAAAGAACATGCATGAAATCAAAGAAAACTCCTGATAACAAGGTAGGATTGATGTTGCAGGAACTGAAATTATTCGATTCGTTCATATATAAAATTTAGATGCAAGAATACATTTTTCATAAAAGAAAGAAAGAATTCCCTAAATCTCTTTGGACTAATATCCACATGGAGGGCATCTGGTCAATCACGTTCAACATTGAGAAGAACATCCAACAAAATATAGAACAGATACCATTCTTGAACTCTTCCCAGAATCGTCCGTATGCTTTCCCAGAGAACTTCTAGATGCTCTCTTCCGTTTCGCAGATTTTTTTGACTGCAACAGAATGATAGAATAGCATAAAAACATAAATCACGAAGGATCAGAATCCTGCCACTACTCTTTGCAGACTTCTCTTGTCCGGATCCCATCACAAGGATCTGCAAGATGGCGACGAAAAGATAAACCATAACCATACAGCAACCCTCGCCCCAAGAATTGCAAATAGCTGGATCTCAAGATCCAGCAAATTTCTGGGGCTAATGAGGCATAAAACTGAAGGAGCTAACCTGCTCCTTCTCAGCAAGTTTAGGGTCAGTCTTGGAATGAGGAGCGGCCAGGAAATCAACAAGCTTTGCCACAAGGTCTTCCTGCGAGAGAGATCACTGACCATTTGTCAATAATGGGTAAGAAAGGATTATTAAGGTTCGCTAGTTGTCTGATAGGTATCCCATTGTGATACCTTCCTTGAAGAAGGCTTTGAATCTGGTATATCAAAGACGTCACACAACTCCAACAGCTTATCTTTGACATATTTTTCAAGCTTCTCCTTTAGCTTAGCTCTTTCTTTATCCTGTAAAAGACGGCACATTGAAGACAGCTTTCTTAAGTATGAGGATATCTATGGGCATATACTACATCAGAATTAAAGAGCTGGCGCTAGAAAACAAGTTTTATAGAAAGGAAACTGTTACTTTCCCAGAGCAGGAATGAACTACTAACCTCATTCTCATGCCATACAAAGCCAGAAAACTGGAAGATGTGGTTCTTGTAATTGACAGCCTGAAAAGCAACAAATTCGATGTAACTGAATAATGGGGATTCAGATACAACTACAAATGCACATTTTCCTGACAACAAAAATCAACTGATTGACTGATCAGGAAACAAAAAAGATCTGCCTGTTTGCTTCAAGGAAAAAAAAACAATAACAATTAGTATGAAGACTTTCAGATATTCATGTTTAACTTTGATGATAGAGTTGACCTAAGAAAAGCATCCAAACAAGTGCTATTAAATTGGGGAGAAGTTTCACTCGTGTAATGCCCCAAAGCTCGCGATTCATGCAAGTGGGTACACCACACTAGAATTATGCCGCAAAGGTGATGATGAGATTAACATTAATAGATGAACAAACCAATTCAGAATACACCTATCATTTTCTTTGATGAACGTGAGACTAGCTGACTGAACTGCACTTTTCTGCATCACTGTCACATCAATACATCAGCTGTTCTTCTCTAGTCTTCGCAGATCTTCAGCCATAGGAAGAAACCGGTGGCATTCCTGTGTTACCAAGAAACAGTAGTTTCCTCTGACCACTCTCTCATCTAGTTACCAAAAATTTCCATCTAGATGTCTTTTCCTCTCCCATAGACGTCCTTGACTCAAAACTCTCCACACATGTGCATACCATTTTCAGGTGCCCTTCCTTAAAAGAAGTTCTATCTCACGGTGTCACAGGGCTCATCAACTCAGGTCATACCGCCTACACCATCTTCCTGAACTGTTAGGCTAGCGAAGATGATGTATTTCCCAATAATACGTGTTTATTCTGTCATATTTTCATGCCATGGAACAATCCGCCAACTTTTTCTCCCCTCAGTTGCCTAAGTTGAATATCTCCTTCTAAGACTGTAATCACAAAGCCAGTTTAGTTTTGGAGCCAGACCAGATCTGAAAATCTATTGTTGATTGCTTTAAACCATGGTTTATCCCACAAGATGCACGAAACTTTAATCCCTAACGTTCCACCCTCAGGTTTCACGCATGACCAGAGATGATTATTCTGTTCCAAAATAAATCATAAATACGCTCGAGAATTCACATCCTAGTCAGATATTTCTATTTTTTAAGGAACTCAACAATTCAGCAGATCATGCTCAATTAAGATCACACAGGTCCACCCAGTTCAATGATGCAATCAGGTTAAATCAGCCATGACAATGTAATCCGTGGTAGAAAAATCCATGCCACTGATGAGAATCAGTAAGTGTCACATTCTTTTATTGATAGCACGATAAAATTGGATTTCTTATCCACCATTAAAAACCACAAAACACTTTAAAATAATACCATTCACAGTAAGAAAAAAAATTAATACTTTGATAGAGCAAAAAGAAATTAGAATGAACAAAGATATCATGATAGATATCTTTGTAATATAATTGTGCCAGTCAAGTAATCGTCTTTCACAACATTGCCATCCATGTTTTAGCAGAAGTCCCTACAACTTTTTCCATTCTTTGTCACATGTGCTCCTTTTATATTTTTTCCATATTTTACACTTCTGATGATTACCAAGCTTATCGTAATTTGATTGATCTATTAATTTTCCTTTCTAGAAGGCAGATCCAAGATATCAACTGCAGAGAGGAAGAGGACATACATTACGAAGGAAATCAATTACTGACCTGCCCAGAAAGGAATCATATTAGTGAGAATAAAACCTGGAAACCAGAAAGCAGCGGCCAATCAGTATTCTAACTATCATCTGCTTTTCAAGAATTTGTTTATTTAACTGTTTCTTAGTTATCTATCTTATTCTCCTCTCCCTCTGCCATTTTTTTCCTCGACTATGGATGTAATTACCAGGACCAAGAATGTCCTACCCTGTCAAAACTTTAATTGAGCGTGGAATCACTAACTTTTCTTTCATCCAAGCTACCAGACATGTCGGCCCACTTCCAAGTCCAGTGAGTCGCACTGATCCCAACCATGAGGAGAAGTTGCTGATCAGCATGCAGCCCACAAGCACACAGCCTGATTGAGCTTCAACCCAACAATCATCATGGAAATTGTTGATCCCCTTAACAGAATGATATTGATGACGAAAAAACGACATATGTCTTCTGGGTGAATGAATTCTGACGATGGTGAAACTCCCATTTATTCTCTCTATATTAATAGAACTCCTGTAACATGATTAAGATGATTACACAGTAATTCAAACGTATCTGACCCATCTGGTTGGTATCATCAATGAATTTATAGCCCTTCTACAGCCCTCTAGAAGATGAATTCATTGTTATAACGTTAAAAATTTGCAAGTAAAATCACGAAGTTCAAATCGTGAACCCTACATATGGGTCAGTAACACAGCACTTTCTGGGCATGATTTCAGCACCAAACATTAGTTGCTTTCTTGACAGATTGGACCCTAAAAGGAACCTTTAACAGGTTCAAGAGAGATTTCAAAGCACATTCAAGAAGAAGGAAGAAAATCTAGACCCTAAACGTGCTAATTATCAGACTTGGAGCACCCCAATCTAAAAGATCCCTTCTTAGGAAAGAAAGTTTTCAAGGGAGGAAGCTGAAGTGTCACTAACTATAAAGTGAAAAAGTTTCTTTGGCAAGTTCATTTAATATTTATTGGATCATTAGAGCAAGCCGATCTTCAGGTTTTCATGAAGATTGCCCGCAATATGTATTCAAGAGATTTCAAAGAGTTTTGCATTGAGTTTGCACCTTAAGTCCAGTGTTTTGAAAGAGGGAAACCAGCACCCAAAGATTACGTAATAACGAGCTAGTTCATTGATGTCTAGTAGGGCTAGCTGTACCTGAAAAGAGTTTCTAAAGAGTGGAGTTTAGAGAGCTGAACCATTTTTTGTGCGTGAATCAGTGCGCTTGTTTTAAAAATATTAGAAACAATTCTTTTAAAGCATGTGACCCCAATTTTTGAGGTATGGTATCAAGCATATGGACAGACAGACAATTGCAGAATCATCTTTGGATGAGGACAACATAATCCCAACCTGATTATTGATCTATTGTCTACTGGCTCCTAATAATCTATGAATCAATTGGTACCTGTCACCTCAGAGCCCATCAACAGTTCACTAATTCAAATAGGATTAACGAATAAATTTTCACATTAGACAAGTCACAAGCATCAATCAGCTAACATGTACTTTTTTGCTTAAGCGTCATCAGTGATTTATTAAATACTTGTTGATTACCAGGCGATCTTGCATTTTAGGTGAGTCATAAGCATTAAATGGAAAATGATGGAAAATGTAAATCCTTCACGTGACATTAAAATTGAAAAGAGCCAATTAGTAAATTTTAAAAAAGCCACGCACAAATTTAACAAAAAATGTAATCGTAAATGCAAGCAACTTATTTGGAAAGTTAAGTATACATTAACAAGTATTAGACAGAAAAACGCCCAACAACCAACTCAGATCAAGACAAGTTCAGAATTAATTATCCCTCACACTCAGAATTACCTTTCCCTTCCTTCCAAAAAGAAGCAGATGAAGTAATCTAATGTCATCAGGCTTTTTCTTCGATAACTTGTGAGCCACTGAAAATGAAGCCAGGTTTACACTTGGAGATCATTCATTAAAATATAACATACAAATGTTGAAGAAATTACAATTATAGAGTACATCAACAATAAACACAACATTCGGAAAGTATAAAGCAATCGAATTTCATCACCCAACCAAAATCACTATTTAAGCTAGAACCCAAGAATAAATATGAAAAATTCTACAAGACTTCCATTTGATCATGTAAAAATAACACTGCAGAATAACATAGTCCAAAGATCTCAGTGAAAACATTAATGGATACCTGATATGACTGACACAACTTAAAATATTGGTTAAAGTTGTAATGGAGTAATAAACATAAAAGAGATAATCACAGTTCATTTGACGGTAGATTAAATGATTTCTAACCATACATCAATTTTATCTTCGTTATGTTTCCACGGTGCAGTTATTGCTTAATGTTTAGATCCTACAAAAAAAAAGTGGTTAGAAATGATTTACAATGAGAACATCATTGGGGTCTATATTTTCTGGTCTGTCAACATATCTTCTCCTTTATTCCTAATCAACAAAGAGTTAGGGTTAAATTCATGGGTCTAATTAATCTGACTGGTCAAAAGCCGATTCCCCTTTCCGCAACAAAAGAAGTTTCACAATGAATAACCACAAAATTACCTCATTTCAGGGATCTTAATCATTTCAAAGATCTAGAATATGGGGCAGTGACAGTCAAGCTTGCCTTATGGTCGTAAAACCATTAGTAGCTTAGACCATAGTCATATTCTCATGCAAAGATGAATGATAAAATGAAGACGTTGACCTTCAAACAAAATTTAAAAGTAAGGCACACTTCATTATCACTGTATAGTGAAACTTATAAGGGAAGATCACCAGAAAATCTCGCACTTATTTCAAAAGGTTGTAAACATCTTTAAAATTCCTCTGTTGCTTTTAGAGCATAATTTCTACAGCAGTCTAAATAAAGACAATTTACAACTAGCTCCAAGAATAAATAAATCAGAGATTTATTTACAACTAGCTCCAAGACAATTTACATCGTCATGTTTATAGCTTCTGTCAATTAAATTTTGTTAAAAAAATTATGAATGTTCCTTACAAGCCAGATCTATCTTTACACCGATCAACTTTATGAACAAAAGAATGCCACATGCTAGCATGTTAATTGGGATCAAATCAGCCACATTGAATTTAATTTGATCAGGTATGATATCTGATCACTCAAATCAGAGTATACAAGGGAAGAGTCCGATCTGGCTGAATGCAGGGAAAAAAAAACTACATATCATTTCCCTCCAGCAAAAGAACCTGAGACCATCATTTACAAACTAACTCACTCGAATTCTGCCATAGAACACCCCACCAGTCAAGGAAGAAAATGGGCTTGAACCAAAGATTCGATTCAATCCTGTCAAATAGAAGGACAACGAACTTGATAGTTGAAGAGTCTTTTGCATCATTGATGTTACAAATACCTAGTCAAAAAAACATATGCGATGAAAAACACAGGTCAACCCTGAGGGGAGGTCCAGATAATCCTATATCCATGCAAGCTTGGTTTCAACTATGTAGAAGATTAGATATTGTCCGTCAATAACTAAACAGAGTTCAGAGCTGAACCATTATCCACTAGGAGAATGTAGCCAACGAAACATACAGATTATAAAAATATGAAAATAATAAATGAAGATTCCCTTCCAGAGCATTCTGAACGATTAAACCAAAGAACTACATTTAAAGGATCCAAGAGAGGAATGCCCAACAACGTTGATATGTGTAAATGCATTTATAGGTAAATTCCTAATATGAGAGAATACATGAAGACCATAGTCTTTAAGGATACAGTTTCCAACTTAAATATTTCCATAAAAGAAACTAATATTACTCCCTTTCTAGATGGTGTTTTGAACATCCAAAAATACTAGAAAAACATTAAATATGTTTAATTGAGTTTCTTTTTTAGCTGAAACAATAAATCGGTAATAATACACATATACATAATATAGCTCTCCCTAAAACAATAATGAAAACTAGAACCTATTAAATCAATTGTTCAATGTCAAGAATTATATAAACTAGCGGTTAATTTATTTATAAATAAACTAGTGATTTATTTATATTATTAAATTAAATCAACTTATTACATCTGAGACGAAACTCAATTGATTTGAGTAGAAAATCAATCTTAATGCAGTCATATATTCATTCTTCGGTGCCCTTCAGCACTTTCATGTAGGGAAATATACAGGCAGTAATAAACATAATTAATCTTCATAACAACCAATGCTAGCTTGTTGAAAATTATATATCAAAATTGTGCTACATACCATTAGGTATATCCTTTAGGGGTGTTCCTCCACCCTGCACAAAAATTCAAAGTAAAAACTGAAACCAAAAAGTCCAGAAAAATTTTCAAGAATATCTTCAAGAAAGAAACTAAGAAAAAAAATGCTTCAAAAATGATACCTTTTCGATTAGGAAATCTTTAGTTGACCATTTCTCTACAGTTTCAACCAACCTCTCAACAGATTTCCTTTCCCTTACAGGACGATCAATGGAAGCTGTCCTCGGAGTCCTTAACACCCGTTTGGTCTTTCCACTATCCTTCCTTTCTGACCCTTCAACTTCATTCCCAGGTTTCGGGCCTCTTTGCCTTCTTTTCCTCTTTCCTTTCTCCTCCTCTTCAGCCGTTTCCTCATTAACTTCTTCACTCCTCTCTTCAGCATCACTGATCTTCTCTTCTTCCTCTTCACTTTTCTCTTCAGACTCTAATTCCTTGTCCTCCTTACTCTGCTCACTCTTCCCTTTGACCCCTTCACCCTTCTCCTCAGACTCCTCGTCCCCCTTAGTCTCTTCACCCTTCTCCTCAGCCTTCCCGTCCTGCTTTACAACTTCATTCTTCTCCTCAACCTGTTCGTCCTCCTTTACCACTTCACTCTTCTCCACAGCCTTGTCGTCCTGCTTTATCACTTCATTCTTCTCCTCAACCTGTTCATCCTGCTTTATCACTTTATTCTTCTCCTCACCCTTGTCGTCCTGCTGTATAACTTCACTCTTCTCCTCAACCTCTTCATCCTGCTTTATCACTTCACTCCTCTCCTTAGCCTCTTCCTCCTCAGCCACTTCACTCTTCTCCCCAGACTTCTCTTCCTCTTTAACCACATCACTATTTTCTTTAGCCTCTCCATACTCAACCAAATCACTCTTATCATGAGTACCCTCATGACTCACCACTTCAGCCTTACTCTTAGCCTTTTCATCCTCATTTTCCTCTCTCTGTTTCTCTTTCTCTTTGTCTTCCTCATCCATATCCATTTCTACGCATTCCTCTCTCCCAACTGAACCGTCTCTTTTATTCGCCTCCTTACCATTCACGTCAGCAGCTTCCACCATCTTCACATTCTCAGCTTTATTCGTACCTGTTTCTTTCTCTTCTTTTCCCACTTTATCTATTACACTTTCCTTCTCATCCCTTTTTTCACTGAGAGCCTCAGTATCTTCAGGCGGGCCTGTTCCATTAGCAGCTGTCGTCACTTGAACTTCCGCTCGCTTCTCTGGCTCAGACATTTGCAGTTCGCTCTGCCCAGAATTATTCCAAATCTAGAAGTCTAGAGCAAAAGAAATATCGTCAACGCCCCAAGTACAATGTCTGATGCCAGATGCATTGCTAGAAAGTGACAGCTTCACTTCGTACTGCATTACTTAAAATTAATTAAGAGTAGAAAAATTATCCGCATACTGAAAATTTATCCCCATCGATTAACAAGAATGCAGAGATGATGTCTTCACCTGAAGAATTCAGACGACTTTTAACAAAACAAAAGGTTCGGGATACACAATTCAAGTAAATAATATGCGGAAAGCGAACTTAAAACCCTAAAATCTTTCAATGGAAGTTCACACACAGAGATAGGCAGTTCAAAACGACTTACAAGACGCAAAAAATAAAGACTGGAAAGAAATTGGACACGGGAACCCTAGAAGCGCCAAATGATCCCATCGCAAGCTTTTCAACTGTAGCTGGTGAAGGAACAGCTTTGATGAACAAACACTTACTCAATCATTAGGAGCGTCCGCATAAAACGTTAAATTCAAGTTGTCAGATAAAGTTTCCTCCCACAGAACCTGGTAAAAACCGACCCATCGACATAACGAATTCTGGTCAGAGCTGAACCAATTCAAGCAAAGCAGAACCCAGAACTTAAAAAATTGTCTGAAGAGAGAAACAGAGCGAGCAGAAGAGAAAATTCAGCAGCTCCACACGCCTGACCAAGCCCCACAAGCTCACTGGAATCAGAGACCAGCAAAACTGAAACCAAACCCCAGGAAACCAAAAAAAAGCAACGAAAACTCGCCGGACAGTCTTCAACACAGGCTACGGGAGTTGAAAATGACCGCAGGCAACTCCGGAGACGAATTAAGCAAAACCTGCCCCAATTCCCAGAAAATCCCACTCCTTGGATTCTCCTTCAACGCAAATTGCAACTCGCCAGAGATACCTCTTCGAGCCAGCACCTCTACTGGAACTCCTCCTCGCTCCTCGTCTCGATCCGTGCCCTCCCCTTCGCGCTGAAGCTCTCCTCCTTCCCTCCACTCTCACTCTTCGGCCAACCAGAGACACCAGAGAGAGTATAGAGAGAGAGAGAGATGGCGCGCGCTTCGGACCCGAAAATCCGGATTCCAATGGCAGTTAAATCCCCTGAACTGGATTCGCCGCTGCGGTTTCCCAACACTTAATGCGGCGTCCGGTTTGGCAGACACGTGCGATCCGATGACACGTGTGACAATTTTGAATCTACCCCCCGTCGAGAGGGAAACGTGGGCCGTCCGGATCAGATCACGTGACCCATATAACTGTCATGCGGCGCCACCCCACCCCAACCCGGCCGGGTCGACTCGCCCCAATAGGCCGGTTCGGTAGAAATAGGTCCAAAATTGTGTGTAAATTTACAATTCTATACCTATATCGCAGATATTCGTATTTGTGTCATTATAAAATAATTTTAATTAATTTTTTAAATGAGGGAGAATTCATTTTAGGTTCTCTTCAAGGATCATCATTCTATCAGCTTAATGGAAAATGTCAAGTTACTAAAATTCATTATAATAAATATTTTTTTTCTTATTTTCTTATTTATCTTTATTATATAAACTTAGTGATTCCATTTTTCAATATGACCATGGGTACGTTAGCTACCCAATTCCATATTAAAGACCACAAAGGCATTGGTCAACGCAAAGGAATATATCAACATCTTGTTCTAAGTCCAAATCCTAGTATAGTTGTAAATTTGTCCATCAATCTTAGGCCTGCCAACACGTTCACTCTCTTAGTAAAATAATATCATAGAAATACTTTCAGAATATAAGAAAGATATCTCTTATTTTAATTAATTTTTATGATTAAAGGTGGTGCATATTTGAGAATAATAATGAAGAAATCCCACCCAATTAAGTAATGAATACATTTCATCGAATGAGATTACTCTTAAATATAAATCAATCTCACAAGAGCAACCAATTCAGATATGCTAGAGTTTGTAATCCATTAATTAATGATGAATAAAAATAAATAAAATGATGGGTATTCATTTTGTATCTCACTTCAGAAATTAAATAGAATTATGAGTAGCATGTTGGGTCAAAACTTCTAAATTTTCATATAGAAGAAAATATTATTATTTATGATAAATAACTGAAAAATATGACAACTTTGTAATGCATAATAATTTTTTACAGATTAAATAAAGTTGCAAGAAAAATATTACGCACAGCATATAAACCTTGTATGGAAATATGAACTTGTGAGGAAAAAAAATATAAAAACCCATGCACTATAACTGAAAAATCACCCAGAATCAGTTTTCGCTGCTGATATCACCCCACCGAACGCCGTACTTTGCAGCAAGATAGTGGGCCCCCACTGGGCCCCGGCTCCCATAGGGGTAGAGCTCTGGTGCTATCTTCTTCTCCTCCAGCTCCTTCAGCAGCGGAGTGAAGAGGGCCCACGCGGCATCCAGCTCATCGCTCCTGATGAACAGCCGCCGCTCCCCCTCGATCGCGTCGAGGAGGAGCCTCTCGTAGGCGTCTGGTATCTCCCTCGTGTACCTTCACCAGAAAAAAAGGAGAGATTTAGACACATTAACGAAGCAGATCCGAGTGAAAACCCGGAAGCTCTCTGCTTTGATCTTTCTGATTCACGGGCAAAGTGTTATTGGAACTAATGACCAGACCAGTAGATCAATGAGGAGATCCTATGATCTCCATCCATTAATGGGCAGAGCTTGATGAGCAGAAGAACAGTTACAGCTACTCATAGTTTTAATAATGTTTTCAGATCAAACAACTGTCAAAAGTAGTTGACTATGAACCAAAAACGGTCATTTTAACTCCAAAAACTGAGCATATTTTCTTACTTTGCAGAGTAGAGGAGGTTGAGCCTGCTGCTGTCCAATCTCATGGTCAACCCCGGGATCTTGTTGTTGACTTTCAAGTAGATCGCCTCGTCAGGCTGCACCCGGATGACAAGCTCGTTGGTCGCCTTGTCCAGATCGGTCCCAAAGCTCCTCTTGTAGAGGTTCCCGGGCACGTGCCTAAACTGGACCCTGATCTCTGCTCTGGCAAGCTGATCTCCGTCAGGTGGGGAGTAATCGGGCAGGTCAGCCAAGGAGACCTCAACTGGGGTTGTCTGTCCCTACCGTCGGCTGTGGAGGGCCTTGCCGGCCTTCATCAGGAAGGGGACGCCGTCCCATCTCGCATTGTCGATGAAGAGCGCGGCGGCGGCGAATGTCGGGGTCAGGCTGTTCTTCGGCACAGTCGGGTCGTCGATGTAGGCCGGATAAGCTCTGCCGCCCTTGGAGTGGCCCTTGTACTGGCCCACCACTACATCGTCAAGCTGCAGATTCTTCATCGACCGAAGAACCTTCACCTGATCAAGACCACCCTTTTGATTTTGATTATTACTCTCAAACAGTACGGTTTGTAGCATAAAAAAGGGGAAATAATCGATGAATTATAATCATATGGAGGATGTACAATCTTAGAGGACCTTCTCGTTCCTGATGTCCTCAGCGTCGAGGCTGACAGGCGGCTCCATGGCGAATAAGGCGAGTATCTGGAGGAGGTGATTCTGCATGATGTCTCGGATTATGCCATAGCTGTCGAAGTAGCTGCAGGGGAAGAAGGGGTTGACTTCTCTGGTCGGATTTTAAATAAATAATAAATAAAAAAATGAAGGTTTTATGAAGAAGGGAAGAACATATTTCACAGACCCGCCTCGCCCCTCGGTACCAAAGTCCTCGGAGAATATCAGCTGGACATTCCTGATGTATTGCCGCGACCACAGTGGCTCGAAAACGAGGTTGGAGAAGCGGAGAACTGAGAGATTCTCCACAAGCTCCTTCCCCAGGTAGTGGTCGATTCTGCAGATAATAAAAAAAATAAATTGTCTTGCAAATAATTATTCATCGTTTTGTGGATTATACAGCTAACTGAGCTAATCTCCCATCCCAAGTAGTGATAATGATCGACCCTGTAGATCACAAATTATATATATACATAATGATTAATTAAAAAAAATCAGTACTTTCTGGATTATAGAGCTCCATTTTTGTCTAAATCGAGCAAGTTTCCTTTCCTTTCCCAAGTCGTGATATGGTTGCATATAATAATTATTAATCGTAAATTATCTGCCGTTTTGTGCATCATAGAATCAAATGTCAGTCTAAATTGAGCAAATCTCCTCCTTTCAGAAGTAGTGGGCGTTCCTATGGATTGTAAACAAGTTCTTCATCATTTTGGAGCAGTATTGAGCAAGTTTTCTGGAGGATGTGCACCTGAAGATCTGATCTTCGGAGAGGTACTGCTTCAGGCTCCGAGTGAGCTCTCCCGAGGACTTGGAGTCCCGCCCAAACGGCTTCTCAACAATGACCCGGGTCCAGCCCGTTGGAGAAGAAGCGCAGAGGCTGGCGCATCGGACCACATCCACAAATATGTTCGGGGGGATGGAGAGATAAAATAGCCTGTGGGACAGCCTACCACCCTGGGCAAAAAATAATTTCCAAAAATAGCCTTAGAACCAGACTCCTAGATGCCAATAAAATGAAGCTGACCTTGAGGATATCTTTAAGCTAGATAAATGACTAATGATGACACGTCAAATGGGCATTCCCTATGATCCCAGGTCCACTCGTGAAAGGGGGAGATACTGAAGAATTGGGCAATCTGACCTTAACAAAAAAGAAAAACAAAAGTCAACCTCATAAGCTTTCTTGTTTCGGCTGTAGAGATGAGGAGGCTAAACTCTCAATCCCTCTCTGGAAGAATCTGGTCAATCCATTATCAGTGGAGCATGAGTATGAGAAGAGTAGGGACACATAATTAGGGGAAACTGGAGGACCCCCAAGAGCGTAAAATATAAATACAAAATAGGTGGAAAATCTACAGATAGTAAAAGCTTAGAGAAGGGAAAAAAGTCAACCCTTTAAACTTCCTCATTTGGGGGGAGGGATAAAGATGGGGAACTGGGTCAGCTGACTTGAGGCCAAACGAGCAATGGGTAGAGGATGGGAGGCCATACCTCTCCTAAATGGTACAAGAGTCCAAGGAGAAAAAAATAAATAAATCTAAAATAGTGGGAAAATACAGAAATAGTATATATACAAAATTGAATGGCAAGAAAATAGAAAATTCGAGGAGAAAAGAAGTGGAGATGAAGGAAAGGTACCTCCTTTTCCCTGAGCTTCTCGTCCAGCTCTGAGAAGTTTTCATCAGAACCATACTGCCCTGGGTGGTAGAAGCACCTCCGCAGGAACTCCTCCATCTTGTCCCCGCAGTTATCCCTGACCCAGAGCAGCTGGCCGGATTAGGAGGGATAGAGACCCAGGGCAACAACAAGAGATTGACGAGAATTACGAGAGCAGCCACCTGCTATCCACCCTGCAGGTCAACGTCCCGCTGATCGAGTTCCTCAGTTCCTCATCCGTCATTTTGCTTCGAGAGTAACCAAAGATTGTAAAATGCTGCGTAGAGAGAGAGAGAGAGAGAGAGAGGAGGAATTGGGTTAGAAGAATGGTCCTCATGGGTGAGAGAGAAGGATTACAGTGATGAAGGAGGAGGAGAAAATCGACTGGTGAAGGAAGATCAAACCTCAGGAAGACAATTTTCGTAGAAGAGAGCGAACAGGGCTGGGAAAATTTTCTTCTTGGCAAGGTCCCCAGAGGCTCCAACGATGGTGATGCTGATCGTGGGCTCGTCTGATCTTGGCCCGGAACCTGGAGGCCGCCCATCCTCCAGCTTGAAGTCAACGGGACCCTTCTCAGGCGAACTCCCAGATGATCCTGCCCAAGAACACCATCTCAGCGACAATTTTCGCCGGATAGAATCAATCAACCCGGCAAAGAACAAGCTCGACATGGAGGGAGAAACTTGGACAGTAAAACCCAAACGAAAGAGGAACAACTGTGAGAATTCGGAGATGAGCTGCTTCGTCGTAAAATCTGCAGAATCACTCACCATTCTGCAATGAAAGGGCGCTGAGCGGGTGTCCATAAGAAGATCTAATCCGAAACCCTCGCGCGGCGGCTCGCGGGCGGTGATGAGGAAGGAGGGAATCGGACGGGCAGAGCTTCCTCTTGCGCAATGAGAAGGGAGACCTCTGTGGGCAGCTCCGGGAGAAGCTGCTGGACGGTGCGGAGGAACAAGACGACGACGGCGACGACGTGTGGAAGCAGACAGCCATCTTCAAGGGCTTAATGCGGCAGCAGAGGCGGCCCCCCTCCCCCTGGGTAGAGAGAGAGAGAGAGAGAGAGAGAGAGAGAGAGAGAGAGAGAGAGAGAGAAGAGAAATGATGATTGTTTTTCTTGATCCTGTCTGTGTGGTTCCTGAATTTCGGAGGGAATCAGCACGAGCTGACTGGAGGGAGATAACGTCTGGGGGTCTTCCCTTTGACTGACCGTGCAGAATGGAGGGTGGGTTTTCTCCACTAATCGACTGGCATGTCGCGTTTAGCTTGGATCGGGTGGGTGGAACCTGAAATCAGCGGAATAATCATCAAGACCGAAAGGTTGGCCCTTTGACCTGGTTGGGAAGATTTCCGACGACCGCCGTAGTCTCCAACGTGAGGAAATGATGTCTTAACCGGTTTCTAATCTTAAATTTTCCGTTCTTAGCGAGAGAGAGAGAGAGAGGGAGTCGGCTCATTTCCACTCTAAAACCCCATATGGAATTAGAAAGAGAGCGGGAGAGAGCGAGTGAGTCTCACGTTACTCTGGAAGTTTGAGAGAGAGGGTATCAAGAAATGCGGACACTTGTACATCCAATCACGCCACACAGAGAGAGAGAGATTCTGATCACACTCTATGGAAACCCAATAACAGTAGAGCGAGAGAGAGAGAGAGGCGTACACCCAATCAGGCATACTGTGGAAGGCCAGTCACATGCCAGAGAGTTAGTGAGAGAGAGAGAGAGAGAGAGAGAGAGAGAGATAGAGAGAAAGTGTAGAGAGTAGGGAGAGACTCGTGCACCCCAAGCACAGCCTGTCCCGGAATCCTGCTGCGGCAACCATGGGCACGTCCGTTTCATGCACATTATCCACGCTCCCTCTCCTTGCTGTTAGGTCACGCACCCTTCCACCTCCCTACCCCCCTTCCTCCTCTATAAATCTCCCACCGCCGCCACCACCTCCATCTCCGTCACCACCATTAAAATTCCCCTGCTTCTCCTTTTCGCGATGGCTCAAGTGAGCTGGATCTGGCTGGCCGCCGCCGGCATTGGGTGGCGCTCTTGCCGGAGGCAGGAGGAGGATGAACGGGCCACGGTAGCGCCGCCAGCGGCGACGGCGGCGGAGGGGTTCAGGATGCCGCTGCACTATCCGAGGTACAAGAGGGAGGACTACGAGAAGATGGAGGAGTGGAGGATCGACGTCCTCCTCGGGGAGTACGGCCTCGCCTCCGATGGTTCCATCGACGACAAGCGCGCCTTCGCCATGGGGACCTTCCTCTGGCCTGATCAGCTCTAGCTGCCTACCTGCCATTCTCACTCTACATCCATCTCTCTCTCTCTCTCTCTCTCTCTCTCTCTCTCTCTCTCTCCCAATAATGAGTGCCACCGATCTCTCGCTCTGGTTCGCAAAGTACATGCCTCTCTCTCTATGCATGCATCCCTCTCTCTCTCTCTTCCTCTCTCCCCCCTTCCATAAATTCTCTCTACTTACCTCTGTTCGTAATCTCTGGTTCAAGAAACTACTAGTATTTTTCTAATTATTACACATGTTTAGTTTTAAGTTTCATTTTCTCCAAGAAAAATTATATTTATAAAAGAGGATATATCCCATTTAAATAAATTTAAACATGGAAATAATCATTTTCTTAAAAAATTTATTCTCCAACCGAACCAACGACGAGGGCTGGGCCCGGCCTTCAGGGGAGCGTTTGTATTCTGTTGAACCAGTCCGGCCCATTGACACCCAATATTCCTCGATAAATTATATTTCTTTTTTGCACAAGAAAAAAAAAGATTAACCGGCCGAACATCTCCACTTCATCGGGGCAGCAAACAGAAGGAAGCCACACATGAATTAATATTCTCAAGTAATTGCATTTTATTTCAAAAGGTGCAGATGCCAGCAGAGTTGACCCCTTTTCTGGTTTTTCTATTTAAAGAAAGGTTGACAAGAAATAGATTCTACATGGTTCGTCTACATGAATGGAAATATGCTACAATCATCCTTCTGCAAGTGAAAGGTTGAATTATCTCAAAATTATTCACCGAGAGCTATCAAAATCATATATGAGTTTCTGGGCCATCTTGATGAAGAGCCATCAAATTAATATTCTCAAATAATTCCATTTTTATCTAAAAAAATGTGAAGATGCCAGCAGAGTTTACCCATTTTTTGGTTTTTCTATTTAAAGAAAGGCTGACAGGTTGTGGCGGAATTCCTTTACAGATGCAGATTCTACATGGTGCGTCAACATGAATGGAAATATGCTACAATCATCTCAAAATTATTCACTGCGAGCAATCAAAACCATATATGAGTTTTTGGGCCATCACGATGAAGAGAGGAGAAAAAACCAACTATGGAAGAAGGTCCGATCTAAGAAACGCTGCTGATCATCCATGTTCCATTTACCGGAGATCTCATGAGTAAGAAGATGGTCTCCCTTTCATCCACAGCTAAAGAGCATTTTTATGTCAAATAAATGAGTCACGTGAATAATTGCCAGTTGTGAACCCCAGAACCCTAATACCCAGACCTAGATCAGGCTCAATGCCAAAAGGCAAGCTGTCAGAACGGTCTCTACACCAAAAGCTAACAGATTCCTCGTGTTGTTAAAGTCAATGTGGTATAGCAAGCTAGTCTTGGAGTCAATATGATTAGGCTTCTGGGAAAATCTAGAAATGTCAACGAACCAGAAATTCTGCAGCCATGAGTAGAAACACTGACACGTGATATACTGTGTGCACCTGCATAAAGTCAAATTGATATCCAATTTTCCCGGAATAACATATACAGTGTCAGAAGATCAGAAAAGAAACAGTGACAAATCGATGAGAGAGCAGATCAAGAATACATCGGAAAAAACCGCAACACTGAACCTGTATTCTCTTGTGAAAGTGGGGGGATAAAAATGCGTGTGATACTAATCCATAGTTAGATTTTGTATCAACACTGCCACGTGCAAAATATGGCAATGGACTCTCCAGGTACAGCTCTTCAACACAAGGATGAAGAAAGATTATGGTACATGTATGCAAAACTCAAGCAAAGTTCGTGATCCCTCTTGTCGCCCCACCCTCCCCAACCTTTAAATCCTTCGTCATAGCCACCTTGCTTCTTGAGAAAGTGGACATCCCAGGACGATTTAATGTTCACCCTATAATCAACCTCCTCCACTTCAAACTTCGCCAAACCATTGTCAACGCAGGTGTCCCCAGTTCCTTGCCCTTGATGCAGACCGCATTTACCAAAGTGTGCTGCACTCCTTCTGGGGCCACGAAGAGTATAAGCAGGAGTCCCAAATGAAGGATAAATTGTGGTCCACATTGTTATATCCCAATTATAGTCATCAAATGTGCAGAATTCTCTGGCCTTTGAGTGGATCTTCCTCCAAATGGTCTTGTTGAAAGCATAGCCAACATTGCCAATTTTCTCTGCAATCAAATTCTCCCACCCTTCTCCCTTCGAGTTCACATCGGAGGGTGCCAAGTTTGCAGCAAAGCAGTCGGGGCATTTCCTAGCTTTCAGGTTTATCAGCAGTTCAATACTTCTGTAAGCATTGGGTAGGATGAAATGATCCTCTTCTATGAAGAGAATATGCCCTGAAAATCCCCTTGTCTCCTCTAGACCATCCCACACAGTGTTCATCATCCACCACCAGTGATGCTTCAAGGATACAATCTTCGGAGAGCGATGGTTCCCATACTGGTCAGCATTCCCTTCACACTTCAGCTGACTATCTTTCCCAACGCAATCCCCGGGAGAAACCCCTGGAAAACTATTCGGGAACAGATGCGGAGAGAATGAAGCATAGATCTGCTTCACTTGGCAGAATTTGATGTTCTTTACAATTTTATCCATTTCTTCGAAGTATCCATCATGGCTGACAATGAGCAAGGTCTCACCTATCCCTTCCACTTTTGATAAACTATCAACAACTACCTGGAGATATTGCGGACGGTTGTGGACATACAGGACGATCTTGACATGGCGCCTTGCGAGCTTCGGGAAGAGATCTAAGTTCCTCGGTGGTAGAAGATTCTTCTTCCCCAAGCGCAGAGATAATTCTGTTCGTATTGGTAGCTTCGGCTTGTCCATGATTTCTAGTTCCACACAGACATCGGCGAAGGAGGAAATGTCATCCGACGAATCAGGCCAACCACGAATCAAACGGGGGATTCCAGTCGTGCGGATAGTGAAGGCCACAAGGGAGGCCACGACAAGAGCTGCCAAAATCACCGGGATCAGCCTCCGGAATCCGTAATTCCTCATTCGGGATCTCCTAAAGAACATCACGATCGTCACCTTCTCCTTCACCCAAATCCACGACCAAATCGTGCATCGACGAACCGAGTACTGAGCAATCCGGCTCCAACAGATGCTCCCAAAAAAAAAAAACCCAGAAGAAAAACACCACAGCTACAGATCAGGGATTACCTAACCATCATCCATCAGGGGATCCCGCGCTGAATCAATCAAAATCTAGGAACCAAAACCCCACATCGCCGATCCTCCCAAGGAAAGCAGATGAAGCAGAACCATCTGCTCTGATGCAGCCGATTGATCTGGCGAGGAAGAAGCCGAGCTCCGCCGCCGCAGAGGAGAGAAGAAGCTGGTGGGGAGAAGAAGCTCCCATCCCCGCCGTTGCCTTCTCCGGGAGATTTCAATATCGAACAGTTACAATCCGGTGCAGTTACCTCCTACCTACTTCACCGCTGATAGGATGAACCGCGGTGACGGAGTGGGATGCGGTGTTACCCCTTGGGTTCTCACAGGGAGGTTACCGTACCCCTATTTCTTTAATGGCATTTAATCTCTCTCTCTCTCCCTCTCACTATAAATATGAAACTTGGATAATTCGGAAAAGGCAGCTGCTTGGATCAGGAAGGTTATAACTGGGAGCATTTTCTATGTTTGAAATGGCATGAAAAAGGTGTCCGTGATGAGGAAATGTTTTCCACATTTTTCCGTTCTGTTCATAGAGATAATGGGCAGTGCTAGTTAAGGTAGTGGGCCTAATAATCCCCATTAAGGAGCCCATTATGTCTGCCAGGGCTTGTTACGACTTTTCAGATAAAAGAGAGAACAGAGAGAGAGAGAGAGAAAGAGAGATATCTGTTACAGTCGTGGGTACAAACTATGTAAGATTCTCTCTCTCTCTCTCTCTATAATACTCTAAGTTGATCTATGTGGGTATCAACTAAGACTGTCTCTCTTTTAATGATACTCTAAATCAATCTATGTGGGAAAAAAGTATATAAGGCTCTCTGTCTCTCTCTCTCTCTCTTAATGGTACTCTAAATCAATCTATGTGAGTAAAAACTATCTAAGACTCTCTCTCTCACTCTCTCTATCTCCATCCTTACAACACTCTAAGTTGATCTATGTGGGTATGAACTAACATTATTTCTCTTTTAATTGTACTCTAAGTTGTTCTATGTGGGTACATACTATTTAAGACGCTCTCTCTCTTTCTCTCTCTCTCTCTTCATGGTCTTCTGGGTCATCTATGTGGGTATAGATTATCTAAGACTCTCTCTCTCTCTCTTAATAATACTTTAGTCAATCTATGTGGTTACAAACTTTATGAGACTCTCTCTTTCTCCCTCACTCTCACTTAATGGTACTCTAAGTTGATATATGTGAGTACAAACCGTGTGAGACTCTCTCTCTCTCTATATCACTCTGATTATCTTGGCGGTACTCCAGTCAGCCTATGTGGGTATGAACCGTCTAAGTCTCTTTCTTTCTCTTAATGGTTCTCTAAGTCAATGTCCATCGGTACACACTGTCTAATACTCTCTCTCTCTCTCTCTCTCTTAATGGTACCGTACAAAGGCCCTCTCTCTTAATGGTACGCGAAGTTAATAATTGTGGTCTACCCTTGGCATCCACATGGGCGCGTTGACAACCCGTTTCATTGTTCCACCACTAACCATTACGTTTCACATTCAACTCGAGCGCTTTGACCAGGCCCACATTAAAATCGAGAAAGGTCAAAGCCATGCCACGAAGTCAACCTTTCAAGTGGCAGTCTATATCCGAATTATTCATAAAGAGGAATATAAACCCACTACTTTAGTGCCATACTTTAGAGTGCCATGTTAGTGAAAGTCAACATCGTTTGGAAAATCCATATTCGTGGGACACGTGTAGTCCATGCGTGAATATTTGTTCTTGGGCCCCACACATATCAAGGCGCCTAGTGCTGGCACGCACCACCAAATAACCAGGGCAGAGGACACGTGTAACGTAAGCCTCCCTAAGATGGGCTATGCCCCAGATCAACGTAGATCACCAGAAAACTTGGCCTCAGGCTTCCGTCAAAACCTTTTCTAACGGATACATCTGGTATGTTTTGATTTGCACGCAAATGTCAACATCGGAGAGAAACGAGCTCCAATTCGTTTACTTGGAGAAAAATATTTATTCAGAACTGACGTCCAGAAGAAACGTACAGATTCAGTCTGCGTTGTTACGCACTCTCTAAGCTGCCCGGCGGGCGGGCGAGGGCTGATCTGCTGACGGGGATCTACTAGGCCCGCCACGGAGGACGCCAAATCACAAGGAGCAAGTGGGCCCCGCAGGCTGGACACACGCCCTGCGTTCCCGCCATACTGCATCATGCGACAAAACGCGAGGTGGTCACGTGGTCTCCACGGTTGCCGTTATATTTTTAGTTACCTGCAATACCCATAATCACTAGGATCTAATTTTCCAGAGGAGAGGGTAATTTGGTCAACTACTACTGACGGCGTTCCGTTAAATCCCAACGGTAACCAAAAGAACCGCGGCTCTGTTCTGCTTTATAAGTACGATTAACAGCACTACTCCCTTCCTCTTCCTCCTCCTCCTTCTTCTTCTTCCCCCTCCCTCTTCTTCTTCTTCTTCTTCTGAATGGCGAAGAAGGTGGATCTGGAGCCGAGGAATGAACCACCACAGGAAGGAGCAGAGGAAGGGGGGGAGGAGGAGGAGAGATGCCCCATCGAGGAGGTGGCGCTGGTGGTGCCGGAGACGGACGACCCTACGATGCCAGTGATGACATTCAGGGCGTGGTTCTTGGGAATTTCCCTCTGCGTGCTGCTGATTTTCCTCAACACATTCTTCACTTTCCGCACGCAGCCGCTCACCGTATCGGCGGTGCTCATGCAGATCGCCGCGCTGCCCTTGGGGCGGCTCATGGCGGCGGTGCTGCCGAACAGGGAGGTGAGGGTTTTCCGGGGTTGGGGATTTAATCTGAACCCCGGGCCGTTCAACATGAAGGAGCATGTGATCATCACCATCTTCGCCAACTGCGGCGTCTCCTACGGCGGCGGGGATGCCTACTCCATCGGGGCTATCACCGTGATGAAGGCCTACTACAAGCAGGGCGTGAACTTCGCCTGCGCTCTCCTGATCGTCCTCACCACGCAGGTGTCTCTTCTTTCCCCATTTCCCGTCCTTTTCTGCCTCGACTCTCATCTGTTTCTCGAGGATTTGATTTTTTCCATTACTCTGTTACAGTTACTAGCTGTTTACGTCTCTTTCTTTTGGTCGATGGCTGGAAGAGTAGGTTGTTTTTTACTTCATTTGTCTCTTCTCTCGGGGCCAGATGCTTCAGCCTTTTGAAGTTGGCCCGGCTTAAGAATGATATTTTTTTCTATGTTGGGTCTCAATAATTCTTTTCTGGGCCCTTTTTGACGTCGGCGCTCAATGATCTACTTGTAAGGGGGAAGGGCCCACACTGTGTGAGGCCTTTTTAGAGCAGGGTCCAGTGGTTGCAAAGCTTCCAGTTTATCACTTGAAAACTTTTAGAGCAGGCCCACACTGTGTCGAGATGGTGGTGGGTGATTTCTAATCCAAATTTATAATTTATTTCATTTATCTACGACAGTAAAAGCTTTGAATCGTAGATATTTCACTATTGGTACCGTAATTTTAGCTGCTTTTCCTCTCGTGCTTCGGGTCATTAATTATCACCTCGAGGGTTTACAAGCAAGTCAACGACGAAAGCATGTGATTGAAGATCTGCCCATTTCTACAGACTCTACCACTTGCTCCCCATCTCATCGTCTTTGACTTCCGAGGTTATATGATGATCGAAATATCATGGTAAGCCCTCCTTATTTCCGCGTTTCAAGCTTTCCGGATCAGGAAATTAGCATCTGCCTACTGTCAGCCGTGGGGTGTTTATGAGTAACTGATGGAGCTCTGTCTTGCTGACATACACGTTTCTCTTGGTCTTTATCCGCATGTCCTTAATCTGGTATTTATCCGTCACAGATTCTGGGCTATGGATGGGCTGGGATGCTGAGGAGGTATCTGGTTCAACCAATTGAGATGTGGTGGCCGGCTAATCTCGCCCAAGTCTCCCTCTTCAGGTCAAAAATCCCAAGCCCCTCCTGCTCATCCTCCTGAATTCAGACCCAGCTGAACTCCAACTCTTTGCTCTAATGCCCCGCAGAGCTCTCCATGAGAAGGACCCACCAAAGGCAAATGGGTTGACCAGAATGCGCTTCTTCCTCACGTTCATGACTGCCAGCTTCATCTACTACGCCCTCCCTGGATACCTCTTCCCCATGCTCACCTTCTTCTCGTGGGTATGCTGGGTGTGGCCTCACAGTATCACCGCCCAGCAGATCGGCTCGGGGTACCATGGCCTGGGGGTCGGCGCCTTCACTCTCGACTGGGCAGGGATCTCCGCCTACCATGGCAGCCCTCTGGTGGCTCCATGGTTCTCCATAGTCAACGTTGGAGCCGGCTTCGTCATGTTCATCTACGTGATAGTTCCCTTCTGTTACTGGAAGTTCGACACCTTCGATGCCAGAAAGTTCCCCATCTTCTCCAACCAGCTCTTCACCGCAAGCGGCCACAAGTATGACACCGCCAAGATATTGACGCCACAGTTTGAGCTCAATGAAGCCGCATACAACAGCTACAGCAAGCTCTATCTGAGCCCGCTCTTTGCGCTGTCAATAGGGTCGGGATTCGCCAGGTTCACTGCCACCCTCACCCATGTGGCTCTCTTCCATGGCAGGTCAGCCCCCCTCCCCCTCAGGCATTTGATGACATGATTTTATATTATGATTTATATAGTGTATGAACTAATTTAATTCGGATTAACCATGAATCATCTTAGTGAATCCTTACGCACTCACCCAGAGCTACTATTATTTTATTTTTATATATCTATTTTTATGAATGTCTGTTACTAGATCTAAAGATCTTTTCTAAATTCCCATTTTCTTTTCAATTAATGTCCAAAACGAGCCTGTACCCCCAACATCAGTCTGATACAAATATGTTGCTTAAGTTCCGTTTTTTTTTTTTTGGGTTAAATTATAATCCAATACATACGCAGGGACATCTGGAGGCAGAGCAGAGCCGCCGCAAAGTCGGTGAAACTGGACGTACATGCGAGGCTGATGAAGAGCTACAAGGAAGTTCCTCAGTGGTGGTACCTCGTCCTGCTGGTGGGCAGCATCGCGCTCGCCCTGATGATGTCGTTCGTCTGGGAAGAGCAGGTGCAGCTGCCCTGGTGGGGGATGCTCTTCGCGTTCGGGCTTGCATGGCTGGTCACCCTCCCCATTGGAGTCATCCAGGCAACCACAAATCAGGTAAAATCAAATCTTCTTTCCATTTGATTCAGTTCAATCCAGTGCATCTTCCTCTCTACAAATCGCCATCATGATACTAATATTAGTGGGAGTAGATCGGTGAAGTATATAAAAAGTGAATCGGAGAATAATTTAGATGGGCATGAACTTACTGACCTGGAAACTTGATTGGAGAAGAAACCCATGTAGTCCAGTCATATCAAGATCAAAACTTGGGGCGAGGAAGAGATCCGTCCAAATCTGGTATAATGTATCCCGACCTCTTCTCATCTGAACAGCAACCGGGTTACGACATCATCGCTCAGTTCATGATCGGCTACATCCTCCCGGGGAAGCCCATCGCCAACCTGCTCTTCAAGATCTACGGGAGGATCAGCACCGTCCACGCCCTCTCCTTCCTCTCCGACCTCAAGCTCGGGCACTACATGAAGATTCCTCCTCGGTGCATGTTCACGGCCCAGGTCAGACCCACCAGGCTCCTCTCTCTCTCTCTTCTCATCCTCTCAACCTTCTCCCTCGCCGGTGCAGCTGGCAGGGACGGTCGTCGCCGGCGCCATCAACCTGGCGGTGGCCTGGTGGATGCTGGGGAGCATCGAGAATATCTGCGACGTGGAGGCGCTCCACCCGGATAGCCCGTGGACCTGCCCCAAGTACCGGGTCACCTTCGACTCCTCTGTCATCTGGGGGCTCATCGGCCCAGCCCGCCTCTTCGGCGGTGGCGGGCTCTACCGGAACCTCGTCTGGCTGTTCCTCGCCGGCGCCCTACTGCCGGTGCCGGTGTGGGCGGCGAGCCGCGTTTTCCCGGAGAAGAAGTGGATCCCCCTCATCAACGTCCCCGTCATCTCCTACGGCTTCGCCGGCATGCCGCCGGCGACGCCCACAAACATCGCGAGCTGGCTCGTCACCGGCGCCTTCTTCAACTTCTTCCTCTTCCGGTACCGGAAGAGGTGGTGGCAGCGGTACAACTACGTCCTCTCCGCGGCTCTGGACGCCGGCACGGCGTTCATGGGGGTGCTGCTCTTCTTCGCCCTGCAGAACGAAGGGCGAAACCTGCGGTGGTGGGGGACGGAGCTCGACCACTGCCCCCTGGCGGTGTGCCCCACGGCCCCCGGCGTCAGAGTAGAAGGGTGCCCCGTGTTTTAGGGTTCTGGTCGCCGGAGGTCGCTCGACTTTTGGAGGAGGAGAGGGGGTGTGTTGGTAATTACTGCAAAAATGTTTGTTTTTTGATTTTATTCTCTCGAGCCCACAGACGTGAATAAGTGGGTTAGTGGGATAACGCGGCTCTCTCTCTCTCTCTCTCTTGTGACGGGCTGAAGTGGGTATGCCCACTTCAGCAACTTTACGGTTTTATATGCTCCTTTATTATATGTTCCTTCTCCATCTTATTGTTGGAGAGTTTGTCACTGAATCAAGGGGGCGTGTTATTATTGTTCGAAGGAGGGAGCGTTTTCTTGCCTCTCTTGAGAAGTTTGTTGTGGGTGAACACACGGGATCTCTTTTAATCTTTTGTTCTATTTTTCAACATAGAAAAATATGAATTTTGGAGTATAAAGATGAAGACATTTGTTATTTCACAAGATATATGGAATCCAGTTGAGAATGATTAGAAAGGTGAAGCTGATTCTTGACAGGGTAATTGGAAAGAGCTTCAGAAGAAGAATGCAAAAGTATTACTTCTGCTACAATAGGTTGTCTCTTACGTCATTTTTTCATGAATTTATAATGTCATCACGTCTTTAGAGGCATTGAGGATTTTAAAAGGAGAATTTCATAAGAAAGCAATGTCACTATTGTAAAACTTTGAAACATCCATAAATAGTTTGAGATTTTTCATGAAATCATGTGATTATTCCAAGACATTTTTCTTGAGTTTCAAGTCTTGTTGGCTAGCTGAGATTACTTGGAGAAAAACTTACAGAAAATAAGATAGTTGAGAAACCTTCTAAATTTGATTACATTGTGACTGTTATTGAATCATGTAAAGATTCATCTATTTATTATCAAAATAAACTAACGAATTCTCTACTAGCAAATGAATAAAGTATGAATAGGTTCATAGAAAAAACCTTAGAGCTTACACTCCAGATAAATGTTGAAATTATAGATGAATGGTGAAGGCCCTTGAAATTAGTGACATTAGAAAAAAAAGTGAGATCGAGGAGGTTATCATATTTTGAATGTGGAGGAGGATTTGGGCAACAAAAGCATTTTGGTATTGACAATAAGCAACAAAAACTAAGTTACAAGATTATACAATATTATTTTCATAAAAGAATGTGGACATACTGAAGCAAATTATTGAAAAAATACAAAGAACCAAACCAATGCTACTGAAGGAAATTACAAGTCAATCTAAATGCCATTTTTGCAGAAATTATATGCGCATTGAAGGGAATCATTGACAAAAGCAAACAGGCAAGTAAATGTAGTAGAGGAAAATGTCAAGGGTGATGTTTTTCTCCCTTCAGTGACACCAGAAAATGATAAATTTGTTGTATGCTTTCTACAAGCTACAAGTAGTAATTACAATGAAGGATAAATCCACAAAGTAGAAAATTCAAGTTGGAGATTAGAAGAGTATTCAAATTAAAGTTATTGGAATAAAAAAAATTCAAGTATAAAAGGTTTGTACAGTACGTATATTTTATTCTTAAATTGACACATATCTTAGTTTGAGTTCATCAATACAATAGGGCTATACATTTTATTTTGAATATAACATGTATGTTATCAAAAGTAGGAGAGGAAACATGTGTGGTATGTTCATCACTAAGGCTGGAAAAATGATGTTTCTACTTGTTATTTCAAGACCTGTTTTGTTATGGTTTTGAAAGGATATGGTGATTCTTCAGCTTGTTCATTTATGTTATTGCCATTTAAATTTTAATAGATTGAAACTACTAATTTAGAAAAAACTATTCTTGCTTTAACTTGTATTGCTACTAATAATATTATTCGTGAAGGGTCTATTTATGGAAAATGAAAACATCAGAGCAAGGTTTACTCTTGAAATCATATGTTCTGATATTTTTGATCAAATGAGAACTGCATCTTTAGTTAAAAAGTATTTTTATTTTCATCTAATGATCTTACGCTGATGAGGTATACATATTTTTTGGAGAAAAAAATAAGGTTTTTTTGGAGTTTCAAGGCAGTTGAAAAAATGGCAGTTAGGTTTGCAATAAAGACATTTCACATTGATAGAGCAGAGAATTTTTATCTAATGAAATTAATTATTTCTGTGAAAAATACATTAGGTTATACTTGACAGCCAGGAATACTATTGAGAGGAATAATAGAAATATGGTGAAAAGAGCTCATAGCATGCTAAGTCATAAACTACTTCCCAATATTTTTTAGGTGGAACTAGTACCAATGACTATTTAATTACTAAAGAAATATTTATTTACCACAATTGACTGGAGCAATAAAGAGATGATGCAAATTTTGCTTTTTTGAAATTACTCACATTGGGCTTCCTTTTGTACCATACTTCACAATGAGTCATTTTAGAGAGATGTAATGGAAGATAGATTTTTGTTAGCTATAGTGATGAAAGTAAGGCTTATCATTTATATAGTCATATACCTAAAAATTACCTATTTCTTGTAGCATTATCTTTGACAATATAATTTTTAGAATTGGGAGAAAAGTTCATGTCAATATGTGCATTTTATAAAAAATAATCGAGGGAGAACACAAATCGAGTAAGTTGCAACACTTGAAGATTTTTGTTCATCAAGAGTTTTATGGATAGAGTCTCTAAGATATTATGCAGTGCTAATTGTGATAATGCATTTAACTCCAGCCGATGTACTCTTTTAAGAAAAATGATATTTTAAAAGAAAATATTTGTATCATTTATTTTTATTTCATGCCTACAGAACCAATGAGATATGAAAATTTTCTAAGGAAAGAGAAACGTGAGAAAGTTATGGAGGAAATAACTTCAATTGAGAAGAATGACACATGGGTTTATGAGCTGAAAATTAAAATTTAGGCTAAAATATGTCGATATAGTGAAAATAATCTGGATGGAAGTGTGCAAAAATATAAGACAGCTGGTTGTAAAAAGCCATGTAGAATAATATGTTATTTGATTATTTAAAAACTTTTTTATAACTATTAGATTTGAATTATAGATTGTTTTACTAATAATCACGAATAAAATGGTCAATATTTCTGTTTGATGCTAAATTTGTATTTCTAGATGATTATTTACATGGAGGTGTGTGTATATTGAGCACTAGAAATAATTTGACATTGAAGTCAAAACGAGTAATGCCTATAAGTTGAAAAGGACACTATGGACTGAAGCAAGTACCAAAGGGCATTGTAGAGTGAGCTAACCCTTTCTAACTAGAAGAAAGAAAAGTATGTTATCATTTGTCTTTGTGTGAAACTATGCAGATGATATGATATCAATTGATTCATCTCTATCTAGCTAGTGAATGTAAAGCTTCTACAATTAGTGGATTCAATATGATGAATTTGGGTTTGCTTTAATTTTTTCTCAATCTTCATTTTTTTCTTAACTCATTATGGTTAATATTTATTTCTCAAGAAAAGTGTACAATATATTTACTAAATTAGTTTAATATGTTGAAATTAAGAATCTTGTTTTACTTTGAATAACACTCATGATAATAAATCTTGTCATATATCGATGATGGATGAACAATAATAAATTATATTTATATAGAAGCTTGGTTTGTTATATGATGTATTGGGCTCATAGGTGGGGTAATATGATATTTCTAGTGAGCATGGTTTCAATATTTGTGCTTTGTCCTTCAATTTATCATCTTGAATTAGTAAAATGGGTTCTTCCATATATCCCTAGAATAAGTGGTTATATAATTTGGTATAAGCAAGTTTAACAATTTTAATCATCTGGTTTTACTCATTGTGATATGGCATTTGTTATAGATGACATGATGAACATGAATAAATTTATTTTCAACTTTGGATCAAGTGCTGTATACATCAAGAAAGTAAAAACTAATGTTATCATCTATTGAAGCTTAAATATACTATTATATCATTACCATCACAAGCAACTATGTGATGAGAAAATATGCCTAAGGTTCTCTCTCACCATGAGAAGATAGAGGAAGAGAGAGGGAGCTAGGGAGGATGGGAGGTAGGGAGAGAGAGAGAGAGAGAGAGAGAGAGAGAGAGAGAGAGAGAGAGAGAGAGAGAGAGAGAGAGAGAACCATTGGATAAATCTAATGTAGAATCCAAACTCAAATGAAGATGAACTCATTTCTTCTTGGAATAAATTAATATTAACTTCTAGTGATCATTTTGTAAGTTCAACTGAGGCTATGTGAAACACTAAGAAGGGGGATTGAATTGGATTTCTATGGCTTCTTATTAATTCTTATTTTTTGTCTATTAGTGGATGTGTTGACACTAGTTTTCTTACAGGTCTTTCTTTCTCAATGTGGGTTTAGTCAATGTTTTTTTCTCTCTCTATATAAGTTCTAACATGATTCTCTCTTCACTACAAAGGACACCAAGACTTTTATATTAGTTCACCCTTCACTTGACTACTTCTAGTCTCAGAAGATCATTTCTATTAGAATTTACTCTTTTCACTTGGAAATACACTTGATTTTAATGAGATCAACAACCCAACCATATTAGTTCAGTTTCTTCAAAGAACTCATCCTTCAAAGCATAACCAGCTCTTAACATCACTTACTTTAATCCATACATCTTCCTCTTACCACCCCAATACCTAAGGGCTAAATGGTGAGTGTTAACCTTTGAGAAAAATATTACTTTGAATCGACAACATTGAATGATAAATTGATGTAGTGTTCTATTATCTATTGAAGCTTGTGATAGCTGAATCTTGATTAGGCAAGAAATATATTCTTTGGAACATAGATAGATGCTAGAGACTAATTTGATAATCATTGTCTTCTCTTCATATTTTTTTTCACTTATTCTTTAATGTGCTGGTTATTTTGTGTGTTGAATAATAGTCATGCGGATTCAAAAATCTTCCTATTGCCCATTCTATGGGTCATTGACCTTGTTTTTTATTTTGAAGCTTGTTATTTTCACATCTTTCTTGTTTCTTCACTAAGGCTTCTGAGCTTATCATTGTTCAGATTCCAAGTTCAATACTTGTT